TTTTCTGTATATTTTAACAAAATTCATAAATGTGCGAAGCCAATTTACACAGAGAACTACTCAATCTGTTATAATAAAAATAATATGCATTTACTCAAAAATACTTCTAATGATTAAAGCCTTTCAAGAAGAAATAATATGCAATATATTTTTTTTAAACCTTAATTATTTACATATTATGATTCTAATAAATTAATAAGGAAATATATAAAGCTAGACTACAACCTAGCTTCTTTTTTAGCTGTAATACCATGTAAACAATCTAGTTTATTTTTTAGCTACAATACATTGTAAACAACCTAGCATACAATCATTTTAGTATTCTTACAAAGTCTCTCCAGCATTCTTCAAAAATAATCTCACAATTTTAAGCTCTTACACATCACTAAAATAAGAGAAAATGTAAGAAAACATCTTTTTTTAAAAACAAATAATCAATCTTCTTAATAAATTATATTGTACTGTCTTATCAAGTTGCCTTCAACATACTATCTAAAAATAAAACCTGTCCTAAGATGTTTCTAATGTTGAAAGCTTCGCAAGAAGAATGTTCAGATTACTGATTTATATAAGTTCAAATATGCACATGTGTACAGAGATGAGCCAATCACTTTTCACAGACCACCAGCAATTCCAGGTTTTGTAATGTACAATAAATTACCTGCTGGCCTTGAGAATCATCCACCCTGGGTGTTGGTCCCGAGTCAGACCTCGGTCTATCTAACTAGCTGCCCAGGTGGGCTCCAGGGTCTCTCTTACACCACACATTCACTTTAATAAATACATTTAATTTGAACACTATATACAAAAAACTATCATTACTATATACAATAAAACAACCCTGTTTTCTCCAAGAATCAGAACAAGGGACCCAAGATACTGTGCTCCAGCTGTGTGCTCAAGGACAATTCTAATGTAGGGTGGCATTCCTATGCGCTTTCTATGAGGAACCAAGGAATTGCGCCCTTTGTGTAGGTGGGACACATCAAGCAACCTTTCTCTGTGCCGGATACATACAAGGCTTTAGCCCAAAAGTAAGTATCCTCATGTCAACCTCGCATGGCATATCTTAGTCGGATGGTGAAGACCTCTCTTTTATGAGTCAGATAAAAGGTCAAAGGGCCAACTATCGACAGTGTTCTTGGTATGGGAGAGCTGCTGTTCGATCTGGCCCACCGACGCTGCCAGTTTCTTTTGATCAGGGTTTTTATTGATTTTTTAGAGCAAAAGAGGCCTGGACTGCAGGGGTTAAGGCAAAAGATGTGTGTCCAGATACCCAGAAAACAATTAGTTTTGTCAGATGTTCCAGTTCATGGTATTTTTTCAAGAAAGTTAATGCAATCATAGACAGCAGTAACAGCACTGAGGGAGTTGGTGCAGACTAGGTAGGCAGAGCCATGATGAATGTTCAGAAAAAAAGTCAAAAGTTTTAAAGTTTAATAGTCGTAAGTTTCTGGCCTTCCTTAGATGAAAAAGCCCTTACAATACAAGAAAACTGCCTAATCTAACTGCTAGAAACAATACAGTTTGACTGCTCAATCTGCACAAAAAATTATGTTTTAATATCGATTCTGGGCAAGCTACCATCAAAGCAATGTCAAAATAAGTATAAATGAAGTTAAAAAATGTATAAATAAAACATGAATTTATTAGAACAAACAAAATATAAATTTGATGTTGTAAACATTGTTTTTTACTATGTGGCTACAATAAAATACATTATTATTATTATAATACAAATGTTGAAAGTTTTTTCTTAGCAAAAATTTGCAACCAGAAAAAAATGCAAATACTAATAAAATAAAATGGAAAGAAATGAAACTAATTTTCAAAAAAATCTCTCCTAAACTCATCCTTATGTTTAATATTAATTGTGCCTAGTGTGTTTTACAGTTCCTGCAAGTACAATATAAAAGAGTATTTTTAAGTAAGTAGTAAAAAGTAAAATTAATTTATTTGGTCAATCGGATCACGAAACCTAATCGATTTAATAAAAGAGTATTTACACATGTGTCTTACTTTTTAGAGAAATAATTAGTAATAATAAAAACCCTAATATAATGAATTTGTATATGTCAACACCCATCAAAGCATTAATAAAAAATATTACTTTTCCTTTAACACAGCCCTTATAAGCATAATATTACAGTAATAGTTTTTTCTTTATTACTTACAGGCAAGCAGTAATGAAAGCACTAATATCAAAAAAATGATCAAATTAAAGGTGGTGCTAATGATTAAACTTGTAACTATTTCAGTCATTCCTTAAAAGAAAAAAGAAAAAAAAACATAAATAAACAAACTAACCTTATACTAACAATAGGACAGCCTGGCCGATTTAAAATACTCATAAACACAAATGAAACCAATTTACTAAGAGAAATATTCAATTCTTATAGTTAATAAAAATAATGAATCATTAACTGCAGAATCTGCAAATAAGATTATACTTTCTAATATAACTTCAATCAAAGCACTGGCCTAAAAAAAACAAAAAACAATTTGATCGAAGAAGCTTCTAATGATTCACAAGAAGAAAGAATGTGCAATACATCAGAAAACTGAAAAAAATAAAGTTAATGGGAAATATATGAAATTGCTTAGAAAACAGCCTAATTCTCTTATCAACAGAAACAAAAAAAAATATTTTTACATGCCTGATAGACAAGTTGCTATCTATTAGTCACAAAATATTATCAGCTCAAAGATTAGAACACTTTTCAAAGGAAAATGAATAATCTGTAATAAATCTTACTAGGAGAATATAACATTAAGAATTAAAAATCAATAAAAATAATGAAAATAGGAAATAAATGAAAACAGCAGCACACAAAGGGTATAGAACAAGACACGCTAAGTAAATCTAATCATAATAAAAAAAATATAAATAAAATAATATTCTTTAATTGATAACTGGATACTGAAAAAACAAAAAATAAAATTTAAAAAATTCAGTTGAATACTGGTGTAAAGAGACATCCTGACAAAATTAACGGGCACGGGGACACATTTTTGGGCCAAAACCCATGTATGAATTCAACATGTAAAGAAAGCTTCTTCAATGTGTCCCACCTAGTTAAATAGTAGAATTCTTAGGCTCCATATAGAAAGTATGTAGGAATGCCACCTGATATGAAAATTGTGCTTGAGCGAGTATCTCAGTACCCCGTCTAATTCTTGAAGAAACAGGGTTATTTTATTGTATATAGTAATGATAGTTTTTTATTCCTTGTCAGTTTGGGAGTGAATGTATTTTTTAGTATGAATATATAGTGTAATAGGTATAATGGGTGATGGAGAAATATTGAACACTCTTCCTTAACCAAGTAAATGTTACGTAAATAAGAAAAAACGTATTTAAGAGTGAGCGTATTTGGTTTTAGGAACTTATTGTATTGAGGGCTGAAATGACCTAGCTATTGGCAGCCTTGGAGCAGGGCCTTAGTCAAGAAGGGTGAATTTCAAAGCCTGTCAGTAATCCAAAAGTAAAACACAAAATTTGGAATTGCCAGTGGATGCGAGATGAGAGAGGCTCAACTCTGTATACATGTGTGAAGATTAAGCTTATATAAAACAGTTATCTGTGGAATACCGCTGGAATAATAAAAATAATTCAGTTGGCTCTTGATAATTCGATATCCAAGGGACCACAAAAAAATGAATTATCAAGATGTTTGAATTACCAAGAGGAAAGAAAAAATGATTAAAATTCGATAAGCATATTTCTAAGTTATTACTTAAATTGTACATAAATAAAACATCTTTTTAGAAAGAATGAACAACATACCCACTCCACCATTTATCATTTCTAAAAATAAAATATCATAAAAATAATGAAAAAGCTGAAATAGATCAATAGTAAAATTGAACTTTATTATTAAAAAATCATGAGTGGTTTTTGTTTCAATGTGGCCTTTTTTTTAATGATTTTCCAAATTGACAGAACACATTGACAAAGCACTGACCACCGAACATAACAAACTAGAAAAAATCGAAAAACTTTAGGCTGTAAGGAAGTAAATAATAAGTGGAAATTTAGAGGATAACATGGAAACACAAACTAACAAATTGATTTTCATGTTATTTAACCTACAGAACTTGGTACCAAATGTTGACACAGGACACAGAGATTGAAGAAACAAATTTTACAAATTTGAGATGAAATTTTAAATGTGAGAAGGCTTCTATTAGATGTATGTGATCCAATGCAAAGCAAGATGTAGCCTCTGTAATTTCATTAAGTGCGATGTACTACTTCTACCTAGGATTTTTTCCCCATTTCCACAATTTATAAATTTAATGTTTTCTTCTATCTTTTACCTCACAGTCCTTGTATATGTCCACATTTATTCTGAAGTCAAAAATCTTATAACTGAAAAAAATATTTTGAACATCCACCAACTTGAAAATAGAAAATTATTGTTGAGATAGATCATAACTCAACACCCAAGGATTTCCACAGTTCAACATATTCACAAATAATAATAACTTTGTTTCTTGATAATTTTATAAATAAATTTATAACTGAAATAATTTTAAGTTTTTAATAATCCATGAATTCCAGTGGAATTTGTAATTAATAAGTATTGTGAATAAATAACCCTTTTAGTTTATTTAGTATTTAGAAACAGATTTAAAATGGGTTCTTTATTACTTTAAAGATTAAATGAGCATCTCAATGTTAACAAAAGGCACTAAAAAAACTAATGCACACACAAGCTATTAAATCAAAATTAAACACTAATAAGCAACCAAATGACAAAATGTATGAAAATATATTCATAACATGCAATAACGGATTTTGTGCTTCATTTTGGTATAACTGACAACCATATCAAATATAATTTTATTTTCATAATCAACTTTCATAAAATCGTTTGTAAAATAAAAAAATCTATAATAGACTTGGTATCTTTATGATTTAGCAGGAAACTGATATAAGGCATGCAAAACATTAGAACTATACTAATGTCATTTTAAGAAAGTAAAAGTGTACTTACCGAATTATCATACTGATTATTGTATACGTTGTTACTGACTGGGGTGAGTGACTGAGAATGAGAGAGAGAGTGATCAGAATATACCTAAAACAAATAAAAACCAGCTGTAGTACAATAAAATGTATCAAATATTTATACTTTAACATATTAGGTATGGGACAAGAATGTTCTGCAAAAAAGTCTTGCTCTAGGAAAAATGAAAAAATTAAAAAGTTAACAGGAGCGATTTTACTAGTTATTATAGTTGAAGTAAAGATAAAGAAATGTTGAAGGAGGATCAAGGTTTATGACCATTTATAGGCAAAGAAAATGCCAAGACATATTACTGAAATTTTCTTTGCCCTTTATATTACAGAGTGAAATAAAATTATCTGAATTTACATATATAATTAAATTAGTCATTGTTGAATACAAGAAAAATGACTAAAATTTTGGTCAAATTCTGCCTAGTTTGTGGGTCGGATCTATTTACAAATAATTTGGATCTCGGTAGGTTGGATAAAAAAAATTCTGTTGTTATCTGCCAAGCTTTCGACCTATTTTAAAGTCAGCATCAGGGCAAAACCATCTTCAGGATTTCTACAAATTGACATAATTAAGTTTTTAGTAGAAGACTTGAAATTCCTTTAAAGACCAACTTAGTCCCAATATTGCCAAAGTCTAACACTAAGTTAATATCACTTTTTTATATTACAATCATCAAATGATCGTTCTTTTTTTATATTTTTTTTTGTATTTTAAGCATTAAATGCTGATAATCAGGTCAACCTTGTCTTTAGGTTTTGAGAGGATGTTTCTGAGTGAACATGTACCAATTTCAGTTTAAATTTAAATACAACATTGTTACACAGTTTCAACAAAGGGAGGGAACTAGATTGGTTTGAGAAATTTGAAATAAATATGTAGAATTAAACATGGAGAAAAATGCATAAATAATATAATAGATTTTGATTTACCTCCTAGTTTAAACATGTACCTAAATAATATTTGACATACAAATTAATCATTACTTTTTTAAAAATCTTACTTTATTTATTAGGATAATATGTAGTTGTGTTGTAATTCACATTTTTTGCATGTTAAAAATTGAGCAGCATTAAAAACCAGTTTCTCGTTGGAACATTGCATTGGCGGTGGATCAGCAGGTTCACTTACAATTCATGTCGAGGGTCGTGTTTTTGTTTAACTCCTTCAACTTGATGATGAGCATTTAATGCTCGAAATCCTGATCATTGTAAACAACAACCTGAGTGGAAACCAAAATTTTCAAAATCTACATACTCACCCCACCTTCGTTATTTCTAAAACTTAATTATGTCAATTTCAAGACCTCTTTAAGATTGTTTTATCCTAACCTTAAAATAGGTCGAAAACTTGGCACTAACAATTGAATTTCTTTTTTCATCCAGACCATATCGATACCAGATTTTTTGTGAGTAAAAAAGTTGTCGATACATCTAACACTTTAAAAGGAAGTATTTTGCCAACTTCAGTAATTAGTATTCAGTCAATTTTCTCTTATGAGATTCTTTGTTAAATAAAATAATTCTTAATTTATTTAAATTTTCTTAGTTTAAATTTAACTTTTATTTGGGTTCACAACAGCAGAGGATTGGAACCCAGGACCTTCACGTTACAGTGATGAGTGCCATGCCAACGCCTAAACTGTTGCAGCCCTCTAAGTTTAACTATTAATATTTCTTATATTAAATATTTAAAAAAAGCAAAGTTTGAAACATTTACCTGAAGCATAACTTTGGATGGATTAATCAGCCGCCTAAAAAAGTATATTTCATCTTGGGTAACTGCTGAGGAATGAGCGTATTTCTTTAAGCCTTCACGAGGTAGCTCTTTCACACTCCTTCTCGCTTCATCATACATACTTTCACAGACGTACACATCACTTTCATTAAACTCTGTTGGACGGCCTAAAATTCATCAATGTTTCATTTTTTGTCACTGTTTTTGTTTTTGGAAAATTTGCAATTTTAGCACTTACAGGAGATGTATTCAGCATGTTCAAGGACAACACATTTAGAAATTATATTATTTACAGAGTGAGTGTCTTCAAGAGTGCTAAGGAATACTTCTTGTTTGTAAAAAAGCCTATTTGGAGTATGTGGTATTTCCGAAGGCATGACAACCCAAGGACCACGGAAAAATGCTTCACCACTGTAGATACAAAAAAAATATAATCAATATATCAGATTTTTTAACAAAAATTATATTTACTTACTCTTTATTCATCCAGATAAAATCAGCTTGTGCTATAAGTTGCCGTCCCGAATCGGTTTTCATATAAACACAATCGCCAGTTTTAATTACACATGCAGGTGTATTTATTTGTTCGTAATATGTAAAACCCTCACTGTTCTCAATTGGTGGATTAACAGGAACATTTTGCTGAAAAAAAGGCAAAAACTAAAATTTTTAATTTTGATAGAATTCTTTGTTCAATTCAACTATCCTAGTTTTAGCTACTTTAACCCTTTGGCTGATTGGCGTGTCAACATCTTATTTTACCGTTACTTTAATACAAGGTATTGGTACAAGCCAGACAGGTCCGCAGTCAATGGGTTAAAACAAAAGTTAATTTTAAATAAAAATATATTTACTGGTCTTTCTTTGTCAACGATGACTTTTTCATGTTCTTCTAGCTCTGCTATTTCTTCTTTATGCTTTTCAACTCGTTGCCTAAATACTGACATAATTCTCTTTGGTTCGATTTGTTCTTCTCTAGGTACTAATTTGTATCCAGTCATTAAACTCGGAGGCCAATTCTTAAATCGAAAAAACAAACAATTTTATGGTAAAAGTTAACTTATAATAATAAATTGATTCACAGGCATACTTTGATTTTTTTAAAAGCTCTTGCCCTTGCGGAGTACCGCGATTCACAAACGTATATATCTTTTTCATCTACACCTTCAGGCTTGGAACGGAAATAATCCTTTACCGACATGACACAACATCTTCCAAGAACTTGATTCAGTGGTATTGCAACATTCTGCTCAGTCTTGAATACTTCTTTTTCCAAAAACTTTCTCGTCGTGACATGATACGTTTCATTTGGTCTATAATACTGATTCCCATAAAGCATTTGTTGGCCTTCTTGGTTTGTCCATAACCTCTGAATGTTGAGAATGATCGGATCCATGCCTCTTTCCTTACCCTCAGCATACACAAAATCACCTATCCTATATACTTGTTGGTTGTAGGAAAGAGCGTTATCAGCAGTTCCAGCTAAGCTTACACCATGTTCTTCCTACAAAATAATGAGGATGTATGTGATAAAGCTATCTCAAATTAAAAAAAAAAAAGACATTACTTTTATTATTGGTTTTATGTCTTGTTCCTCCTCCGGCTGTTCTAGAGCTTGCTTAGTCTGCCGTTCTGAATCAACTGCATTAGACAAATCTAAGAGGGTATAATTCAATGCTGGAGAATGGAGTAAATCTCCATTTCGACAAAGTTCATCCCTAAATAAATGATAATTTTTTTTTAAATTTGTTCAAACAATTGATTATTGCTGCTTCTATTCAATAAATAGCAACAAAATTTATTTAAAAATTTCATTTTATGTAAGAATCTGTTATGTAATGTTAACATTATTCAGCAGAACATCCTGCCCTAACTGTTATCATTCTATTAGCATATTTTTTTGTTAAAACTATGAAGAAATTCAGTAAAGCAGAATAATCAAAATATAAAGGAAATAAATACTATGAACAAAAACAAATAGTTATAATTTAATTAAATTTGGTATCTAACTATCAATTACCTCTGTCTTATAAAATAAGACTGGAGCTCGACTGAATCCTCAAAAACTTGAGAATCACTTCTGCTCAAGTTCCTTGCTCTTTGGAGACATGAGAAAATATCTTCCTGGAACAAGTCCAGCCTTTTGTACTGCCCACCGTCCAGCCTTCTTTTAATCAGGTCTAACGACAGGGCACGGATTCTTAAAAAACATTGTATAGTTAGATGTATAACTTAAAAAACAATAAAAAGAAAAAGAAAAAAAGGATAAAAAAGAAGTTTTATACTTTTTGCCATCAACTTCATCGTGCTCAGGCAGCTCTTGCATGGAATCCGAGAAACATCGTCCTTCTTCGTCTTGATGATTATACACTGAAATAAAGAGGGAGGTGAGCAGTTCCTGGACTGCTGAAGGAACGTCTGGTACACTTTGCTCATCTTGTCTCAGTTGAAGCTTTGTCTGTATCGCAACTCTTTGTAAAGCTAGAGCATCCTAAAACGTTAAACAAAAAATGAATACCATAATTTAAAAAAAAATTTTANATGTCTGAGCTGATTCTTACTTTATAAATTTGTGAATCAGGTTCGTTATATTTACATGCGTTATCAAACATTAAAATAAAATCACTACATAAATCATCTAAGCCTTCATAACTGTTTGTCTTTAATTTGGCAGATATTTGTTCTAAATTAATTGGCTTTTTTATAACTTCATAATAATCAGGATATTCCTAAAACAGAGAGTTCATTAATTATTGATTTTATTTCAGTTAAAGTAAATATTATAGTTACAGTTTTGGATGGGAGTTTTAAAAATATCTGAGACAGTTGCCTTCCTTTTGGATCCTTGTAGTCCCTTAGAGTATGGTAAAGTGTCCTAAGTTTATGAGCTAGTGCATGGTCTATTACTTTAGGTGAATTTTGACCAAGCATTAAGACCCGTTTTGGTTTGGGCCCAGGAATGCCAGAACTGAAAACCGGAGAATTCTTTTTGTAACCTGAATTGTTATTCAATAACTTGGGCTTGTGGTTTGAATCTGATGATGATGATGATTTGGGAGATGAATTGTGATTTGGGGTTAACAATTTTTTGGGCTTCGGACCATTAACACCAATGCTAAAAAAATAAAAGTATACAGATGATAATGTGAACCCTTGAATCTTGCAAACAGGGGTATGAGCTGTTAGTGTGAAATGTTAGTGCGAGGTAGATGAGTAGGAAAAGGTTTGATTAAAATAAAAAAATGTAAACAACCTTTTGGGTGTCTTTTTTTCTATCGGCTTTTTCTCTGGATCAGGCAAAGGACCAAGTTCTTTTACCTTGTTCATTAGAATTTTTTCTAATTTTAAAGCATCTTCATAAATCATGGATCCTTCTTCGTTGTACTTACGACAATTTTGAAACATGAGCTGTAAAACAATAATGTCCATTTTTGTTAATATTTTCATCAAAATATGTTAATAAAATAAATGACAACCTTGAAGTCTGCTAGGATTTCTTCCTCAGAAGTATATTTTTCTTGTTTGATATTAGCTTCAATGGTTAACATGTCTACCGGTTTGTCTATAACCTTGTAGTAATCTGGATACAGCTTTCTCGACGGTTTCTCCATAAACATCAACATCGGCTGTCTACCATCTTGACACTGAAGAAAATTACAATCACAAATTAAATTAAAAAAAAAAAATATATATATATTTTAAAACGTACAACATAGTTCATAACACATTTGCAAAGAGAATAGAGCCGCCTTTTTAATGGGATGTTATCGAGGTATTTGCCTCTTGTTAAAAGCCTAGTCGTTGAGGCAGGAGCCTGAGGCGTAACCGGAGTTCCGGGGGGAGGCCCGCCAATCGTTCCAGGCAATGGTGTTTGAGGCGGAAGCTTGATGGATGATTTCGGTGTCTTGGGTTGTGGCTCAGGTTCTGAATCATCCTCACTTGCTGAATACTTGAAAAAAAAAATAAAATAAATAAATAATAATAATTAACAATCAAATCTTGATTTTGCAGTAATTTACCTGGTGGTCAAAATCAAGAAGCTCTTTCACTCTTTTTTGCATCAACTTTTGAAGTTTCACTGCATCCTGCAAATAAACAAATAACAGTAGTAATGATAATTTTTAGACAACAAACACAAAATATATTTACTTTATATAATTTTGAATCAGCCCGATTATATTTTTTAGCATTTTCAAACATTATATTTAAATCACCAGCAACCTCGCTTACTGTTCCATAATCTCCTTTCTAAAAAAATAAGTGATATTATTTTACCAATATACAAAACATCTATTTAAAAAATGTACATACCTGTAGTTTTTTACTAATTTGTGTCATAGATATTGGATTCCTAATTTCTTTAAAATAATCTGGGTAGTACCGTTTTGATGGTAATTTATGAAACGGTTCAGCTAAATTTCCACCTAAAATTACCAAGATTAAATATAAATAAATCTACTCCGTACGTTATCTATTGCCATGATTAATACTTTGTGGTGTACTGTAGTTCTTGATTGTATTGAATAATTGCCAACAAGGATCATCAGAATCTTCTTGCTCAACCATACTGTCACATTCTTCCTCTTCTTCTTCGTCCTCACTTTTCAAAGCAGCAGTTATTGCTGACAAAGATTGGCCACTTCTTAGACGTTTAGATCTATAAAATAATAAAATAAAAATTGATAGTCAATTGTTGAAAATTGCTAATCAAAACCCAGAAAAAATTAAGATGTTTATATAGTATTTTTTATATAGTATTTAACACAGAATCTATGTAACAAACCTTATCCTTTCACTTCCTTTTCCGGTAGGTAAGTACTTCCCTTGTTCAATTTCAATTTTTTTTGCTTTGATAATCTTATTAAGATATTTGGCATCTTTATATATTTGAGAACCAGGTTCATTAAAGGCACAGGCATTTTTTGTCATTAACACAAGGTCCTTCTCAATATCCCCAAGATTTGTGTATTTACCCTGCTGAATTTTTTTAGCTATCGTTCTGAGGTCAATTGGATTCTCAATGACCTCATAATACTTTGGATACCTCTGGAGAAAAAAAAAAATAAATAAATAAATTTTGTTCGTTTACAATTTTTGTTAATTCTAAAAAATAATGTAATTTGAATATCTACTTTTAACTACTGCTAAAAATTAAAATTTGTATGAAAGAAAAATAACACACTTTACAGACCTTCCGAGAAGGAAGGAGTTGGAAAGGGATATGGAGTTGCCTTTCATCTTCTGACATCGCTGTCATCACTACAGTAAATAAGTCTTCACACATCATCAAAATGGCATCCTCCTCAAAAGCAGAGCCCTCTGATGTATCTTCAGTATCGTCGCTTTTCTTTGATTCTATTGAAGCCAATTCCAATAGCTTTTCTGCTTTAGGCTTCCTTCCGACCTTCTTCTTAACCGGTGGTGGCTCGTCTTCATGGTTCTCTTTTTTTTCCTGTTTCATGACAACTGGTGGGCAGTCCAACAACTTGGACTTTGCAGATTGCAACAGCTCCCAAAGCTCGTTAGCATCTTTATATTCATGCGATGTCCTCTGAAACATCAAATAATGAATCAATAAAAAAGTTTCGCACAGAAGGTTTTAATAATATTGTACTGTTAATTTTATTACCTTGTAAAAAGCTTTTGCATTTGATACTAATAGCTCTATATCAGAGGTAAATTCTTCTATATCATCATACTCGTCAGTCTTAAGCTTTTGTTGTACTTTTAACATATCAATAGGATTAGCAACAACCTGGGAGAAAAAAAAATGTAAAACTGGTGGTTAATAATAATAATACTAATTTAGAATTACTTCATAATATGCTGGTTCCTGTCGCCTCTTAGGTGCCCGGATGAAAGAATCGCACAGAAGAGTTCCATCATCTTTTTTATGATTCCTCAGTAAATCATAAAGTTGTTGTACTATTTCAGACTAGAAAATAATAAAAATAAATTGTTATTAAAGATATCACAAATCTCTTCAAAATGTGTGGTGATTAGTGACCGTTAATCGATAATTATTCAGAAATCGTCAAACTTGAAGTTTGCACTATTGACATTTTTTTAAATTATTAATAATTATTTTAAATTATTTAAATTATTTATTTTACAGGCAAATTTTGAGAGTCTGAATATTATTATTGTTTTGGCTGTTTATCATAAACAATGAGGGAATCATCTTCAGAAGAAGATAATATTTATGTTAGAAATGAAAAAAGGGTTCGAAGGCGAAGACTTCTTCAGACATTTCAGTACAAGAATAAATTGCTACTTTAATAGTACATATGAATATAATGAACGATTCCAGATATCTACTGAGATTCTTCAACATTCTGTTAGAATTAATTGGAGGAGGAATGGAACGCAATTCATACAGAAACCAAACACTCTCACGAAAATTAAAAATATGCATTGACCTTCATTGGTTAAGTATTGACTCCTTGTGCTTAACCAATGAAGGTCAATGCATATTTGTAATTCTGATCTGCCACCTAAACCAAAACTCTGAAACTAGTATCACAAGAAATACAGCTTCCTAAAAAAAATCACCTGGTCATGATTTGATAACAGCTGAAGTTCTTCAAGAACTTCCCAAAAAAGCCATTGTCTTTCTGACTTCTTTATTTAACACAATTTTGGGACTTTCTTACTTTAAAATGATCCCAAACCCCCATAAAAGTTTAAGCTCCTTGTCATCTTATCATCCTATTAGTTTGCTATCCATTCCTTCTAAATTATTTGAAAAATTAATTTCAAACCCATCATTACACCACTCATCAACTCATCATAACCTAATATCTTGAGCAGAAACTGTACGTGACAAGAGTGTTTGTAGAGGTTTCTTGACAAAATATGGCATAAGGGATTATTATACAAATTAAAATTATTTTTACCCCAGGTTTATTATCTGATTTTACAATTATACCTTAAGGAGAGATTTTTCGCAGTAAATCATGGTATGGAGACTTCTGGGATGGAAGTAGTGCTTGCAGGTGTGCCACAAGGGTCAATACCCGCTGCGCTGTTGTACACAATTTTTACTTCTGATATGCCCACAAATGAGAATACACTTACTACCACATACGCAGATGACACCACCATATTAACATGTCACCCCTCTTCTACACAAGCTTCACTTATGTTACAAAACCACATATCAGCAATTTAAAAATGGAGCAATCTTTGTAAAATAAAGTTTAACCCTTCTAAGTCACAACATACCATTACATTTCGTCGTGAGACTTGTCCTATTGTATACTTATACAATGAACCTATCCCCCTATAATAAAGTAATTAGAACTGCACAAACAGTTATCAAACAATTTAAAATGCTTTATTACCTACTCAACCGACAATCAAAATTACCATTAAAATCAAAACTTTTGACATATACATACCTACTTTAAACCTATTTGGATGTTGCCAAGCTAATTGATCGGCCAATTATTCCAATATTCAAAGATTACAAAGTTTTCAATCTAAAATTTTAAGACTAATTGTTTCTGCCCATTTTTACATAAACAATAACACACTTCACAGAGGTCTTCACATGCCAACAGTTTTTTCATCTATAGAAACATATACATGTTTTCAGATTAACACACAAATACAATTACTCCATTCCCCACAATTACAATGTAAACGTCTGAAAAGAATATGGAGACCTCATAAATTATTAATATCATTTTATTAATCCAGAGTGGCTGCCAATGGGTAGCTTTCTCTATGCGTAATGCCACGAACATAAATTATCCAATCTGCTGGTTGTAAATAATTGTACAATTTTACATACAAATAAATGAAGTAAAAAAAAAAAATATGTAAATACTTCATGGCCAGGCAGTGTTCATGGCAGCAGGGTTTTAAGAAATTGTACCCTTTCAAGGTAGACGACTGACGTCTGACACCAGAGCACTTGTAACATTTTCCTTTAAAATTAATGTAATTTTCTTTTACAACTGTAGACTTTTTATGGTGAAACCCTTGTACTTTAACACTGTGCATGTATTCGTACATACAGAATTGCGAACTTGTAACTTGTTTTATGAAACAGCCCTGTGGACGTTTTCAACATAAAGAACTTATTGGATTGAAGTCACGATAGCTCAAGTGGTCAGAGCAGCAGCGTATTGAGCCGAAGGTCGTGGGTTCGTATCCTGCTCGTGACATTAACTTTTTCATTTCGACCAAAACCTTACATAAAAAGATTAATTAATTGAAAGAAGTAATTTGGTCAATAGACCATTAAATATAATGGATTTAAAAAGTAAAACGAAGTATAACTTCACTAACAACTCCCCGTGGCCACTTCATGTCGCCAAAAATCAAATCCTGATTACATGACATTTGAAAAATTGTAAAATTCGAAAGGTTGTAGGTTGAAATGGGGAGTTGGTGTCCGAGTGGTTCGAAGTCACGATAGTTCAAATGGTTACAGCAGTGTGTATTGAGCCAAGTGGGTTCGAATCCCGCTCGTGACACTAACTTTTTCATTTCGACTAAAACATTGCATAAACAGATTAATTGAAAGAAGTAATTTGGTCAATAGACTACTAAATATAATGGATTTAATACAAAATTTATTGATCAATTCGTTAGAAAATGCGTTTAATAGAATTAGCTAATAATAAAGAGTCGAGATTCTATTCAGAGGAGTTGAGAAGTTGTCATCACGTTGGAAGAAGTGCAGTGAGAGAGATGGAGAGTATTTTAATTAATAAAAAAAAATGCTTAAAATAATTTGTTTTTATTTTATACCCACAAATCTGTATTATTTTCCGGACAACCGATGAACAGTTAGAAGATAAATTTAAAAGATAAATTGTAATTTTTGGACGGCGGGCTTGCGGGGAGGAAGAATCGCTGCGAGGGGTGTTATGTACAAATGTGAAGTGATGTGAATGTAAATACTCACCGGATCCTGTTTTCTTTTCTTCTTCACTTCTGCCGGATGAGAATCAGATTCTTCTTCGTCGATCCCTCTGCTCGCGACAGACGAAGTCCGTCTTCGTTTACTCATCACTTTTCAGTATTTAATTTTCCCCCTGGACATAACCCAACAAAAGAATGTTAAAAAAAACTCCCAAAAAACAAATCAAAACATTAGGTTGTATAAGTCTAAAAAGTTGTTTCTTGATGTATTCTCCTTTAAATTATATAATAGAAAAAAAATATTCCACCGGACGATAACAAACTAGAGTGTAAACATTTTCAAATAAATTCGATTAACCGGTCTCCCCGTTTTTTTCACAATCCTTTGCTACTTACTCTCAGGAATTTGACCGTTTTGTATGTCCAGTTGAGTTCGAGTACCGTTGGCCCGGGCGTGTGAATTTCTAAAGAAATCCGTTTAAAAAATGTCGTAAGGGGGAACTCAAAGGATTCGTCACTTTAATGCTTTAGAGACCATTTTGTTTGGTGATGCTTCACGACCATCTTCACGACTCGAGCTGCCAACCGTTGGACGTTTACATTACCACCCGCCCAAAAAAATTTCCCTTTACAAAACAACTTATATCTATTTGATATTTGAACCTTATTCTATTATTTTTTATTATGAAATATTTAAAAAAGAGACTATTTTTAAAAATAAACTGTTCAATTATATTTCCTAATATACAATTACAATAACTTCAGAAATCCTTTGAAAAATAAAATTAAACCCATTAAAAAACATAAAAATATACTAAATCCAAACAAAAATATCATAAAATTATATAATTAACTATAACTATATAATATTTCAAATATAATAATTACATCATTACGATAATCCATAGAATATATGCAGGGAATGCAGCCCCACCCAAATTAACAAATGTACAAGATTTTATAAAGTGGGCCAATATTTTTAATTCAATATAAGAAAAAATTTGTAGATTCCTACCATGATGATTTCAGAATGATTATGATCCTTTAAAATTTAATGTAAATTGTGTACGTGTATCATGTCTACTCACCTGCTTCAAATAGTCTTTTGACTTGCATCGTTATACTTTATCTTGACCAAAACCTTAATTAAAGATTAATTAATTTAAAATACTTATCAAACCTAACTTATTTATTTATATTTGTAAGCCTTTTTCTACCAACTTTAATGATAAACCAGAAAATGTAATAAATCCATAAACACTTACAATACTGGCTTTAAAAATATCAAAAATCAATATAAAAGTACAAAAATAATTTAAATACCTTTTTTTAATGACCTTATGAATGTGTGTAATATTTTGCTTTGATCGTGAGATGCAGTCTGGTGTGATGTAGGTTTAGAACAACATTTTCTTTGTCGTACCGTTTCAATTTTTATTGAGATCATCTTCAGGGTCTGGATTATAAACATTGTTTATATTAAACAAATATGTATAATATATGACTATTAATTTATACAATGATGTATACAATATAGAAATTTTAAGTTTAATCAAAGTATTTGTATTCACTCAGTGTTTTTCTTTTGTGTTTATGTGTACTTTGATTAAACCTAAAATTTTTATATTATGTCTATCATTGGATAAATTCATAGTCATATTTTATACGTATTTGTATAATTTAAACAATGTTTATAAAGAGCAGGCCCTGAAGATGGTCTCAATAAAGATTGAAATGTTTTTCTAAACCATCACACCATGTTGCATCTCATGCTCTATAAATAATCAGGCCTTATGAACTTTGAATTTTAACAAGAAACATTAATATCTCATATGCAATGCGTATTCTTTTTTAAGGGAAGGGTTGTGTTAAAAAAAGGGATGGGAATTGAACCTACAGCCTCAAGGTTTGGAGCCGAGTCTATCATGCTGACCACATGGCTACTTTGGTCCCCTAAATATATAATTTTGTATCACTATAAGAGTCAACAAAATATAAGGAGGACATAGGTCACCCAGAATTTTAAAATATTAATATTTCATAAATTTGGACAAGTAATGACTTCTTCATCAGACTGCAAGTAATCTATCGAGACGTACTTGTAGATTTATAACCTAATGATGAGCAGAGTCTATAAAGAACATGAACTGAACATCTGACGACCCCACTGGTATTGAAGACAAATTCTGTTATTCTCAATTAATGATGGGCTATGCCAAGACATGAACCAGGAAATAATGGCAAATACAAGTCGGTTGTTCTTTTATAGTAGTTTTGTATATTGTCTATTATCCATTATTGAACATTGCACAGCATGCTAAGTGTAATACTGTCAGTCTAGTCTAGCATAATTGGTTCGTATTGCCAATTAACATGATACGTGTATTGTGAAACATATGATAAGTAATGCAAGCTTTTAGGATGAATGCGAAAGATATTAAATAAAACATACATTTAAGATGAAATTCACCTGATACCTAACAGAAAGGATAGGCAGATAAGGATAATTGGGACAGGATGAAGATTGTTTTTAGCAGCATAACAAAATTATAAAATTACAATACATCACAATCTGTACGATTTTCGTTTTTGTTTTTGTAGAATCCAACTGCAGAATCAATGTGCTAGGTGCATATTAGCAAACGTAAGTTTGCAACTAATAAACAAAAAAGACTAAACCATTCCGACTTTGAAATATTATGGTTTAAACTTGAGCGGAAAAGAAAGGAAAAGAAAATACCCATAGTGATTATAAAAAAGAATTCATTTTCATTAGCCTTTTGTGCTGGACAACACATTATACAAAGTAAAAACAATAAACAATATAGTAAAAACTAGGAAATCATTATATTTAGTACTGTGACATATTTTCATAAAACATTTGTAACTAATAACAAAATATATAACAACATTTATAAAATAGGACCTTTATTAAGGTGTAATCATTTTATGCCAGAAATATTAATCTTTGTACTGTTGGTTGTATATTCACTATTTTAAAAATTAACTATTAATTTATTCTCTTAAAATAAAAGAAAACCTTTTATGACTGCAATAAATTCATTGTAAAATATTCAATTTACAATATCACAATATAATAGTAAATAAAATTGCATGTTAATGTACCAAAAAGCATTTTTTTAAACAGTAAATTTTAATTTTAGTATCAATAGACAACACAAAGTGTAAATTGGTTTTTCCAAAAGATACTGCAATTTTTCAAAAGTTTTTTTGCCTTCTGTTCTACAATTGTTTTACTTAAATTAACTAGTTCTCAGTATGTGTTTTATCCACCAAAATTAAATATTTACCATCTGTGCAGTATCTCTTAGTAAAACTTACATAATACAGCTTTGTATTTTTGTTTTTACTTAAATAAATTAATATGATTGAAAAATGATTGCTTTAGAATTAAACAGTGAGCAATTAAATACATAGCACTATATCAGCTATGATATGATTTAGTTTTGTATTAAAACAAAGATCAATAGTTTTAATTAATGATGAAGGAACCCTTAAGAATTTTTGAAGTATTGAAAGAAAACTGATTATGCAAAGTAAAAATAATCGACACAAATGATTAATCGGTCACTTATACTGCCAACTGATGTTGAAACGAACTTAAGACTAAGATAAAATTGAGCATTTTGAAAAGGATTCACTTCATGATTTCTGAGAAAATGTCCACAAGCATCAGTTACAACATATTTAAGATTTTAAACGAATGTGCAATGCATTGGCACAGATGATGTTACTTTACTAAACAAAGGCACTGAGAATAGTTAATTTCTATAAATTGTTTATTGTAGGTTTTCGACAGAACTTTGTTTAAATTAACACAGTTATAAAAAGAAATGAAAATGATCTTACAGTGTTGCCTGAATACCATATAAATTTAAAACCGTTTTTATTAATTTTTTTAACCACAAAAAAATTTCATAATTTTCCAATGAAATCGTCGATAATAAACATATTTATCAATAAAGTTACCAAATGAGCAATATAATTCCATATACACTAAGCGAGTGCACATACTCTCATATACATTACATGTAAATTCACCATTATTTACAACAGAAGTGTATGTTGCCACTAGTTTCTAGAGGACCTATATATAGAACGGACATTTTGATTATATAAAACTCGTTTAAAGGAAACTAAAACCTTTTGCTCATTAGATATTATTATTCTTTAAATATTTTACATTTTCTCTTTCCTTGCAATTAGTTTCACTCATTGCTATTATTATTTTTATTTACAACTTGCTTTTAAAACCCCCCTTAAGTGTTATAAAAAGCTGAATAAAATTAACAAAATATAGATATTTACATTTCAAACTGTAAGCCACTTTTCTTCAATTCTGACCCATGTACACCCCATTTGTTCAATTTAAGTATTAGGGCAATAAGTATATATTGAAAAAATGTTATTCACTATGTACAGATATACAAGGTTTTTTTTTTTATTTTGTTCAATTTTCCTTAATCTTACATTTAAGCCACTACATTTTCGATCGTTATTAAAATGTTATTTATAATTTCTATTCCATTCTCCAGAGCTTGTTAAAGCTCAATTTCATAGCGCTCAGAACTTTTTTTCTCACATCATACAGAATTTACTGAAGGTGTTTTAAGTTAATGCTTCTTTGTACAATTGGAAAAGAGAAATGTTAAATTACTTTAGGCAAGGAACAAAGTGTATATTTTACAACTTAAAAGTACACAATAATCCTCTAAAGAGTATTAGACTCTGAGAAGGCACGATAAATCAGTTTTTTTTTTTTTTCTTTTTTTTAGGATACCCTCCAAAATAATATCAATTTGAGTTTTTAACTACTTATGTACAAAGTTCCATCTTACACATAAATATATGAGATCCATAAAATCAGCACACAGTATGAAATCAATTCCAGATTTTATATTACTAAAACTAAGTACTATATTAGTATGGCACATCAAGTGTTTCATTCCAAGTTAAAAAAAAAAACATACATGTAAAATTAAAAATTAAGAAAGAAAAAGAGTAAAGCTTTAGTCGAATGACCTTTTTTTTTTTTTTTTAAGAACACTAAAATTAATTTAAATTGCCAATATATTAAAAATGAACACTGAGCATACTATCCAAACATAAAAATTGATTTAAATAAACCCGATAGAACTGAGAACAATAATATAGTCAAGTTATCTTATTTGGAGGATACCTAAGGAATTTTAATGACTGACGCTAAGGTTTGAATTTTACAAGAGGTATATTTTTAGTTGCGAGACACTTATCACAAACCCACTCTGCGTAAACCTCGGCGGTGAGCAATTGATAGGCAGCTTCCGTTAAACCAGTACACACTCTGAAAGAAACGATAAAATAATAAGTTAATATATCACTACATTAAAAAAAATAAAATAAAAAAAGTATTAAATACCTGTGAAACCAGAAGTTACAACCGGACTCACAGAGGATGGCTTGATCGTTATCATGTACTTCTTTATGACAAACCCCACAAGGGTATATGGGAGGTGCATTGGGATTTTGGGGATTAAATACCATCGATTGATCAACAGGATAAATCTGGAAAAAAATTAAAAAATTTATTTATTCTTTGTGGACTTTAGAAGAATAATACAATTTTGATTTGTTGCATGACAAAAATATTATGACAATTTAAGATTTTAAACTCTCCCAGAAGAGTTTTGTCATTGTGCCTCTTCAGGATTGGGCCTGAGTGATTTAAAAAAACAAAAAAACACTGAAGATGGTAAAATGCCAAAAAAATGACTGACAGACCAATCTAGCAAGAATAAGCTGATAAAAGTGATTGGTAATACCAAATTACAGCTTCATGCTAAAATCTAATTATTGTCTTGTGGATCTTTAAAAAAAAGTATTAGATTTCTTCAAAATTCTATGAAGACAGTTTTTAAAATTTTTATATTTGATATTTCATTTTAATAAAATGTTCATTTCAAATAATTAGAGGCATAATAAAAATAATAATAATGGCTGCTTAAAACTTGGAGCCTTTGTATCAGGACCTTAAAGAATTTGTGTCTCTCTCAAATATTCGTTATTTTTTTTTTTTTATTACATTTTTTTATAATGACTGTGAAAAGGAACTTGGTGCTTTGTTTTATTACTTGACACCATTCTTATAATGGCTCTATAAGAATTTGCTTCCACTGTTGTTAATGGCCATTTAGGAAATGCCTTTTAAAAAGCTTGATATAGTGGATTTTTAAGAATTTGTTGCTTCTGGTCTAAGTGCCTATTAAAAATTAGGTCCCAGACATAATTGCTTCTTAAAAATTAGCCTTATATAATGGCTTCTGAGGAATTATTATATTATATAGGAATATTATAATGGCACTTAATACAGCTGCCTTGTTGTAATTGCCTTTTAAGATTTTATAGTCCCGTTTTACCATCTTTTAAAGAATTCGGTACCACATTTATCAATCATGTCTTAATTTGGCATTTAGTAATCACAGAAATTTAGATGCATTGTTAGAATGGCTTATTAAAAGTTTATATGCAGCTTGTACATAGAGTTCTTTTGTAACAACCCTTCAGGTGTTTAGAAGTAGGAGGTTCAAACCATTTTACAATATTTTCTCAAATTTACACGCCCAAAGCAGGCTGGAATTTCAATTTTGAGATTAAGGGAGAAAATGCTTTATTTTGGGACAAAGGTCCTTTAAGAATTATAATAAGAATGCAGAAATTTTGACATACCTGTCACTTGAAGTAATAAACATTTATATGTAGTGAAATCACTTGAAATAGATACAAAATATAAAAAATAGAAATAATAGTAACAATACTGTAAAACATATTTTGGTCGACTGTTGCACTTTACAACCCTTCAGACAAAGGCTTAAAGGAGTTACTAGGTCCCCAGTGTTTCGTAGAACATTTTTCAGCTTTCTTAAATGTATATTAAATGAGATTTAGGCCTTTTCCCAAACTCTTTTCTTATACCTTTGAATGTTTGTCTGCTAGTGTTTGAATGAGAGTTCTGTGTGCCAGATTTCTTTCTTTTTTCAGTAATTTTTGAGCTGCTGTAGCGGAAAATTGAAATAAGAGAAAATACAAATTGTGGGGTAATAAACTACAATGCCCAAAATTGCAATTTAAATAATGAAAAATAGCTCCCTCTAGAAAAAGAAAAAAGATCAAAGAAAAAGAAGTGTTATTGTGTTTTGTTTTATTTTTATTAAGTAGCATTAGTGTATTTATAGTATTTAAATGGAGGAATAAAAGGATAACGATGAGCCTATACTCATGCTGAGACTGTAGCTAACAATGGAACAGAAATTCGAAATTCTAATTAATAAACAGGAATAAATTTCATAATTTAAAACTTTTTTTTCATACATTTGGCTTCCAGATAAAGTATTTTAAAAGTATAAATTAAAACTTTGGATGGCAATAGGATAGATAAATGTTAGGGGGGGGGGCATGAAATGACCTTAGCCATTAAAATGTCCTTAAAAGTTAATAATAATAATAGTAACGATAAGAATTTAGAGAAAAAATAAAAATGATAAAAAATCCCTTGTTTTGTGCGACTATAATTGCAAAATGTGAACTTAAAAGTTGAGAAAAATAAGAGAAAAAGTTCTCTTATGTAGCAAAAGGACCTAATAATATTATCTCTGTTTGGAAGGAGATGAGGTGCTAGTACAGGAGGGATTTAAAAGAGGTAAGGGAGGCAGCTTTGTGGTTTGGCAGAGGAAAAGAATTCCAAAGATTTGTCTCGATCTAGGAAGGAACGCTCAAATGTGGAGGTTTTATGTCAAGGGAAATATAGATCATTAGGAAACAAGCGGGTGTTACGAGAATGGATAGACAATTCAAATTGAAGTAGCTGGAAAATAAAATGAGGCTGATGAGTTTATACATTGGTAAAAGAAAGAAGGATAAAGCCAGGATAGGTCTGAATTCAGGTGTACGACTGAACATTTGGAAGTACCAAACAAATCTGACATGATAATTAATCAGACTTATCAGGAACTTATCTTGTTCCTCCAAAAGTCCATTTTTTTAATTTTCATCCTCACAGGGATTTAAAAAAAATTAATTTCCTTTCTCATTATGACCTGCAGGGCAGCCATCCCAATAGTTGGAATACTTTGGCTCAATGAAGGTCAGCTACATCGAACGTATTAATTTAAATACAATCTATGCAAGGAAATTCCAAGAGCAATGAATCAACAACCATTTTGGTCTCTAGACTAATTTTTTGGAGAGGATTTAAATGAGTTGATTTTGTTGTAGAACTAAGCTGTACAAATAATAAAAGTTTTATATATGTTTGGTTGTCCTCTTAACTAAAGTATAAATAAAATAATAATTATTTATTTTTAAGTGACTGATTAATTATTTATATGCAAAAGTGTGGTTGAGATGAATAATTATTTATTGCTAAACTGTTTTTGAAAAAGAGGGAAATACAAAAATTTAAAAAAATTGTAGGTTGGGAAGATGAGTTGGTGTATTCTGAAATCTCAATAGTTCAAGTGGTTGAGTTGAATCAACAAAACAGCTTGGTCCGGGGTATTAATCCTGATGTCGTGGGTTCGAGTCACTCTCGTGATAAAATTTTTCATCTCGATCACATCATAAAAATAATGATTAATAATTTTATTTAATAAAAAGTGTAGTTCTAATTTTAATGATCACTTCCATGGTATTTTTACATACATGAACAGCCTAACAAACCACATGACTAATGTCACATGTCCCTGTACGGAAAAATGTATCACAACATGATTTCCACGACTAAATTTGAAACTAGAAACTGATTCAAATGTTTATTTTTCTTTGCCTTTTGTATCAATGGCAATCATTTGGTTTCTTGTATTTTTCAATTTGTTTTGCCTCCACTTCTTTCTGTAAATTGTTTATTGTCTTTGTTTTTGTGTACATAAATATAAAAAATTTCAACAGGCACTAAAGTTATTTATCAAATATCAGACATTAGCTACTATATGCCACAATACTCAGCATCTTCCTTTGCCTGGATTGGGAAAAAAGGTAGGTGGCAGGTAATTATATCAAGAATTAAATTTTTTAAAAAGAACTTCAGTTTTCAAATAATTGAGTAATATGAAGGCTTGTAAAATAGTTGGCAAAAGAAGAAAAAAAACACCTTTTCTCTTATGAAGTGCTTAGCGCAGTCATGTAAGAAAGTAAGCAAGAAAATAATTAGTATGTATTTTTTTTACAAATTAAATTAAATGTGAAAAAATCTGTCTATGAAATTACCTTTCCCGCTGAAACTGGCATTGGCTTAGGAGGTGGGTAGCCATGAGGCGGGTGCTGCATTGAGATGGGATGCATTGGTGGATGAGATTGCCTTACTGGACCATTAGTATTCACTACACCGGATTTACATATATCACTTGTCATGTTACACTGTTGCATATTATTTGGTGTTCCTGGTGGAGCACCATTGTTCATGCACATTGGACTATTTAGGGGTCTTATGTCCATGATTGGGCTGGACATTGGACCCCCACACATTGGGCCGTTCCCGAGGGGGCTCCCCATAGGAGAGACACAGTTCATTGAAGAATGGCCCATCATCGGTGAACCTTTTCTCGCGTTTTGGTTCATGCAGTCCATATTCATGAGTGGGCTTCCTACAGTCGGACTCCTGTGGGGCATGGGGCTACCTGGGGTAGGGCCGCACATCATAGGGCCTGGTCCGCACATCGGACTTCGGTTTTGACCCATCGGGCTGGGCATCATCGACATCCCCATGGGGCTAATAGGTGGAGCACAATTCATCGGCGATCCGGCAATTGTGCATCCCGGTCCCCCCATCATCATGCCAGACATGTGCCTGGGGCCCATAGGAGGACCTAAATGACCCATCGCAGACTGTTGGATAGGTGGAGAATCGTCGAACGGATTAGAAGCTACTATTGTATCTCCATAACCTACACAATGAAAAAATTAACAATGAAACGGTTTATATCATTAAATATATTTTCCACTCTAAAAGAATATGAAAATCACCTGTTAAAGGAGGCGGTAAAAGATCTTGCATCACAGGGGGTGGCTGTTGATTTGCCAGGTTGGCAGCATTATTATTAGACGCACGTCGCTTTTTCTTTGGAGGGGGTGGCTCTGGATTGTTCATCATGGGAGGCTTGAATTCTCCCATTCCCATCCTAAATAAATAAAATGAAATATCAGAAACAAAAACAAAATAATACATAATACACTGAGTAAGGCAGTTCATAAATTATTTATATCGAATTGATACGGAAATTCTGGCTATTAATTAGAAAGTCTGCAGCAATATAAGAAATTTTAAAAAAAACTAATAGAAGGGAGGGTGATAACTAAAAAAATAACATTAATGTTGATGATATCGATTGTTAATATGATGCAGCAGTTTTTGTATTTTGCTTTGTTTTTAGGTCATTAAATTGTTGAATAACATATAATATTAATATTAAAATACACAAAATAAAAATATAAATAATAGGAAAGTTCAAGAACTCATCTAAAATTGTATTGCGTCCATTGTTGCTTATAAACTGCCAGCGAATGAATTTTATTAAAGTTTTATCTCAATTCTAGACAAATGGGCGTTCAATAAAACTCCTGTGCAAAAACATTCAACAGTTCATCAATTAGTCAGAAGTGCGTATTTCCCTTAATTTACTTTTTCTGCACATTTGGCTGAATTTTCCACGCCATTGCTAAAAGGTCAAATCTCTTGCAGGGATTCATTTACAACTGGTTTGAAAAAGAGATTAACATCAGTTATATATGTGCACTTTATACTGTCTCAAGTCTCATCACCGACAAGGATTAGATCATCAAAACATCAACAAACGTGTTTATACAGCATTTTCACAGGAAAATGTTACTCGTCGTTTTCCACGACAGCTAAAACTGCACATGTAAATTTTCCTACATCTTTTATTTTTTTAAATGGATGTTCAAGTGCTTGTCCTTCACCATGCGTCTTGTTTGAAACAAAATAAAACTTTATATGATAATTTAGCCTAATTCTGAACATAACTTGATTTTTTACTCTTAAACGGTAAAATTAAAATTTAGGATTACTTATGCTTACAAGTGCTACAAGAAAGCAGGTATAACAGTGAATGACATTCCTTAATTTTTATTAACTTACTAAAACCTAAACATATTAAGTTTCAGTTTAAATATTTTCAACTTTGGTAAAATATGCCTACGCTTCTTATGGCTACAAAGTACAAATTAATAATCCTTATTCCAATAAAATAAAATTATATCCCATAAAAATATGTATGATTGGGGTATTGGTGGCCACAACATTAAGACGTCGTTGACACAGCACTCATCACTACAAGGTAAAGAGGTAAAGATCCCAGGTTCAAATCCAGAGGCCCTGCATTAGAACCCAGCATATTTACAAATGGGATTTTTTTTTTAAACACCGACACCAGGTTGATATCGCCTCTACTGTTGCGAACCCTCATATGGCACCAATGATATAATGATATAAAAATGATATTTTTTTTTAAATATTTAGAAAGAGATTAACTGGAATTAAAAAAAAAAAAAAAAATTATCCCCAAACTCACTGGGTTGGAATGCAGAATGAATCATAAAAGTTTTCTTTAGTCAGCGGTTCTTTGCACTTAGACTGTTTTTATTTATTTTATAATTTGTCGATACCAGGAATTGTAAGTTCCACTGAGCATTGCAACTTTACAGCTTATTGTACAACTTCTAGGCTCCATTTTTGGGAGTTCACAAGTGTATGAATTGAGCCCCTGGTGAGCTGTTTCAATGGAAGAAACTCATTTTCGAAGGGGGTCGGGACCGAATTCAGGGTCTCTGGACCTTCCTATTAATGGGTGGTATCAACTTTCATTGTGGCCACTGCTCCCCTTCTTTACGTGTTATAAAAAAGTCAAGATGCAACAGTGGGTTTCAAACCCATTATATGGGATCTTACTAGTTGAGATGAGAGTATGACACTTTAACCACTCAGCTCCCACAATTCCCCTATGATATTTAAAGTCCTTGTTTTATAACAGTAAGTCATTCAATATTGTGGGAGAAGAAGGAAAACTTAATAATTTATATATGTTTTAATTGTTCCTCTTAATCAAATTAATTGTATTAATTATTTTTATGAAACAGTTGAGATCAAAAATCAAAATCACAAGCAGGACTCGAACCTATGACATCCGAATTAGTATACCAGCACTCTACCACTTGACCTGTCATGCCATCGGTCCCCAAGATATCAACTCACATCTAAAATTAAACAGTATTTCTCCTTTATGAATGTCTTTCAATGTACTAAACAATGTACCAGTTGGAGTATATAAAATATATGTCAAAGGATGAGTCAAATTTGTCCAAAAATGACTGCATGAATTCGTAAAAAAATATATATATTCAACAGTTTCTGATAATAGCAATAGCTAAAGTACACGATATGTTATGAAATGTTATGAATGATGTGTTCAGCTCGTTAAAAAATTACTACTTCGAGAAACATTGGAAGTTATTGTAATGGAAAGATGAAAAGATACTACATTTACATACTATTTACATATTATAACGTGCATGCTAGAAACATACATTCAAGTTCGTGTTTTTAATTGTTTTATGAAAAGTGGTAATTCGATATTCTTACAACATGAAATATCGGTAAATGCGTTCAGTATTTAAAATAGTTAAAATTTTTCTTTTATTCATTTTATTGTTTTGAATAACAACATTTTCTAGCTTTTTAAATTGTTTTAGAAAGATTACTTTATTAAAGCTGTTCAGTAACTAAAGGTGTATATAATAGTTGGTACATATAAATCCAGACAAATGAAGTAATAACATTTCTTTCTTCACTAATGATTTTTATTTGACATGGTAACTGAAATAGTTCTTTTACTAATTAATTAGAAAAATTGTGACTTTTATGTTGAACTAGCCAATTTAACACCAAGTGTTTTACATCAAGCTCAGGGACAGTAGAGAGCGAGAATAAATCACACCATGAAAAATACAATGAGTACGCATCTGCTGAACAATTGTCCTAGATTTTGACGTATTTGCGAGACTTTATAAGCGTAATTTTCTTAGTTGCATGCAATAATACTGATTTATTACAATAAACAGTTATTACCAATCTTACCAAAAAAACCTGTTTTTAAATATTTGAATACTCCAATGATAATGAGAGGAAAAATAATAAAATGTAATTACCCACAGTTCATTTTTTCATCAGGGAAATAAGGAGCCCTTGTCATGTGTGGATGTGGCTCCACACCAGGGCAAGGCGGGTAGTACATCTGGTTTCGCCCCCTTGGCATGCTGAAATGAAAATTACCCATATTAAACAACAGTTGAATATGATATGTGATAAACAGTCATAAAAATGAACAATGAGAATAATTTATCAATTAAATAAAAGTTGAGAATATATTTTTACTTCATCACTCAACACACAATGCACATAAAACTACTACTACAAGCTCTACTAAATAATATATCAATTGTTGCTTTTTGATGTATAAAACAAAAATTGTCGAGTGGAGCAGATATCATAATGAAATTTTATGCTAAAGCCTGTTGGATAAATCAATGGTTGTAAGTTAAAAGATGAAATTATGTAATAATTTACAAAACAACATGCTCAGTGCGAAAGCTCTTTTGAACAGGTATTGTAAGTTGAGTTGAAATTTCTTCTCAATAAGTGTTCGATTAACCAGTACATAGGTAACTAAATAAAATTTGGATTTTAGAATAAAACAATCAGCATCCTTGTACATTGTACATTTTGTGAAATGGAATCTCTTTGAGCATGAATTACGAGTGAATCTGACTTTTTTTTTTTTTTGCTACATCATGTTGGATAAAATTATCATTCAAGTTTTATTTTTTTAAATGACTTCATGAGCTTGCATATTAGCCTGAGTTCTGTTGATAATTTCATCAAATATAGTAATCAAATATCAAATATGATGGGAATTGAACTGAGAGCATCACACTTAACCACTCTGCTCCCGCGGACTACAATAATTAAAACTGGAAAATAAAAAGATGAAAATAGAAAATAGTAGAACTAGTGATAGTGGCAAAGAAAGATTCTCTTTCAAATATACATTAGGGTGCATGTTCAAATTCTTGCAAAGCATGGGTGTACACATCATTATGTGATTTAGAAAGCAAACAATAATTAAGAAATAATTTAAAAAAATTCCTAAGATATTTAGTATAAATTTTTATTAGCGACAAATTATTATTATTTGGAGATCGTGAGATGCGGTCTGGTGTGACATAGGTTTTAGAAAAACATTTTCTTTATCGTACCAACGTTTCGATCTTTATTGAGATCATCTTCAGGGCCTTGCGTTGTATGCATTTCAACAAAAAAGTTCTCTGATTGACAGATGACGTGTTTCTTTTCATTGTTGGCTATGCCCTTCAGAATACTCTGCTTGAGCTATCAATCAGAGAACTTTTTTGTTGAAATGCAGACAACACAGGACCCTGAGGATGAACTCAATAAAGATCGAAATGTTGGCACAATAAAGAAAATGTTTTTCTAAAACCTGTCACACCAGACCGCAAATAATCATTAACTAACGGTCACTAAACATCATACATTAATTATTATTTTACTGGATGTATGAATGAATTAGCAGCAAGGTAGGCATTGAGATAGTAAATACACTTATTGTTGTTTAATTCATAGATAAATAAATAAATAAAGAGAGAGAGAGAGACTGTCCTTCACGGTAAAATAATTAGTTTTTGAAAGGACAAAGGAAGTTAACAACGAAAGCATGCTGGACAAATCCAGTTTGAAAGATGATTTTCAACAGACAAACATTTTAGTACTTCAAAGAAGAAACTTGGCAAGCAACATCTGTGAAAGACCAAAACAGCGAGGATAGGCAGACCGAATTGTTTTGAAATTACGAACTACTCCCAAAAGGATTCTGTCAAAATAAAAAAACCTCAGCATTTTCATTGTTAAATTTACAGCAAAACTAAGAAATAGAATCTTTGTATGAACATCTCAAGAGTTATCATGTATAAATTTCTCTTTTGAGTGGATGTAAGAATTCAGTTTTCAGCTAAACCATGCACTATATATAAACTAATAGTTCAAGTTAGGGGATTAAACACAAACTTTTGATAGTTTAAAGAACCATTGGGCTTAGAGAAAGTAGTGTACCAAAACAAAAAACCCTTAATATTTCATTAATTAAGAGTGGAGTTTACAACAAAGGCTTGTAAAGGCTTGTACAAGTTCAGGTTGAAAGATAAAACAACGAACATTTTGTTATTTTAAAATAGCAACTTATTGTTTGATTCAGTCAAAATATATTTTATCTTTTTATGAATTTTAGTGAACCTATGTGGAAATTTTTACAAATAAAGTTGAATAGACAACTAGAATGAAATTCACAGCAGATCCATGCTAAACATTAGGATCTCTTTGTGAGTACCGAGATAATTGCAACAAAATTGGTAAATGTCACTTGATTAGAGCTTAAATGAGATGTTTACGTACAAAATGGGAAAATATCTCTTGTATACATTAGAGTGATGTTTACAGCCAAAGCAAGTTGGATAATCCAATAGTTCATATTGAGAGATTCATTCACAAAATGAAAGAACATTTTGGTAGTTTAAAAATCCGACTTGTATGATCTAGAGGAAAGCAATGAAAAAATGCTATCCACAAAATAGGAAAATTTATCTAGAATAGACATTAGACTGGAATTTAAAACAAAAGCATACCAAGAGTTCAAACAGAGCAGTTTGGTAGTTTAAAGTAACAACTTAATATTGGATTTAAACAAAAACACGGGATCTCGTGATGAACATTGAAATAATTTTAACAAAATTTTTTAAATATATCTCAATGTGGCATACGAGGGATGTGTACAGCAGAAGCATGCTGGATGAACCATGTTGAGAGATATAGTCAGTTAAACAAAGAACATTTTGGTAGTTTAAAAACCCGACTTTATGGATTTAGAAGAAAATAGTGAAAAACTGCTGCCTACACAAAGTATATATTTCTTGGGCAGATATTAAAGTGATGTATACAGCAGACACAAGCTGGATAAACGAGCAGTTCATGTTGAGGGATCAAATGAAGAATATTTTGGTTCAAAGTAACAAATTAATATTGGATTTAAACAAAAATATGGGATCTATTGATGAACACTGAGATAATTTTAACGAAATTTTTAAATATCTCTCGACGAAACATAAGAGTGATGCCGATGAATACTGGATGTCAAAAGATCAAACAAAGAGCATTTTGGTAATTCAAAGTAACAAGTTAATATTTGATTCCATAAAGTCGGGTTTTTAAACTACCAAAATGTTCTTTTTTTGGTAGATGATATCTCTCAATATGAACTGTTGGATTAACCAACTTGCGTCTATTGTATACATCATTCTAATAACTACCAAAGAAATATTTTCACACTTTGTGTAGATAGTAGTTTTTTCAGTTTCCCACTAAATTCATAAAGTCAGTTTTTTAAACTACCAAAATGTTCTTTTTTTGTAGATGATATCTCTCAATATGAACTGTTGGATTATCCAATTTGCGTCGGCTGTAAACATCACTCTATCTATCCAAGAAATATTTTCCTCTTTTGTGTGGATTGTAGTTTTTTAGTTTTCCACTAAATCCATAAAATCGGGTTTTTAAACTACCAAAATGTTCTTTGTTTGGCTGACTATATCTCTCAACATGTTGGTTCATCCAGCATGCATCAGCTGTATACATCCTCTAATAACTACCCTAGAAATATTTTCATACTTTGTGTACACAGCAGTTTTTCACTATTTTCTAATAAATCCATCAAGTCTGTTTTTTAATAGGAAAATATCTGTAGAGTAGACATTAGAGTGAAGTTTAAAACAAAAATATGTCAAGAGATCAAACAAAGAGCATTTTGGTAGTTTAAAGTAAGAACTTAATATTTGATTTGGACAAAAATATGGTGACTCCCTATGAAACATAAGAGTAATGCATGCGGGATGAACCAACGTATTGAGAGATATAGTCAGCCAAACAAAGAACATTTTGGTAATTTAAAGAACCGATTCGATGGATTTAGTATAAAATAGTGAAAAAAACTGCTGTCTAGGCCAAATATGAAAATATTTCTGGGGTAGATATTAGAGTGATGTTTACAGGAGACGCAAGTTGGATAATCCAACAGTTCATATTGAGAGATACCATCTGCCAAAAAAAGAACATTTTGGTAGTTTAAAGTAACAACTTAATAAATGATTTGAACAAAAATATGCTATCTCGTGAGATAATTTTAACACAATTTTTAAATATCTCTCGATGAGGCATAAGAGTGATGTTTACAGCAGATGCATGTTAGTTAAACCAATAGGTCATGTTGAAAGATAATGAAAATTTTGGTAGTTTAAAGAATCAACTTATTATTGGATTTAGTGAAAAAAAAAAAAAATCGTGGAAAAATGGTATTATTATATTTATGACGTATTAATTGTTAAATTTGACAGGAGTGAGAATTTATGCTAAAGCTTGTTAGATGAATTAAAGTTATCTTGTTATCATAGTAATTTTTGGTTTGGGGGTAATTTTGAGTGTGCGTTGAAAAAAAAAGTAAAATTATTAATATAAATAATTACCTTACAAAGGGTGCCATCCCTCCAATATTATGGCTCATTTCCTTCACTTTCTTCTCATCGCCCTCCTAAGACAACAATCGTTTTTGTCCGATTGCATAGGGCGGCCTTCCATAGAAACGTCCTGACGAAAACAAGAAACTCATTCAAGACCATTGACATTCACGCTATGTTGTATCAAATCCTATATGGTAAGGATTTTATTATGGATTTGGGCCCGTTTACGTCGTTAATATTATTTTCGACCCGCAGCGGGAATGTTATGTACACTATTAGAGGTTAGGACTTACATGAAGTAAATACGAATTTTATCATATCCTCGACGGTCTAATAGCTCGACTGTTTCGACTCACTATTCACATTCCATCGAAACGGGCTCGCGCTCAGAGAAAACTCGACGTATCGGGCCGTTAAAAGTCATCTTCCCAGTTCAAGGTGCCCGACATCGTCTTCGTACACATGACGGCTTCACTCAAACTTAATATCAAATATAACTGTTATTCTCCCTCTGAAGCTGTCGAGAAGATCGATTTCCTCCTTCCCGAGACACCGCGGGTAAATCAAATTCGACTAAAGCCTGGATTATGGCACGACCGCGACTTCTAATTTTGGTAACAATAAAAGACAAATCAAAATGGAAAAATAGTTGGCTAGCGGCTTAAGTGATATTTTTGACTATAAACAGCCCAAAGAGGATCGAGTCGCCCTCCATGGAGTTGCCGTTTTTAGTTTTTACTCACGAATCACTGACCGCTGGACCGGATCGGAACTCACCTATTTAAATATTTTACCGTCTCGTGAAATTAAATTGATTATTTTTCAACAAAGGTTTTTTTCTATTTTAATCCGATTGTACGGAAAAGTCTCTAACCTCAGTGGAAATTCCAAAGCCAGAGCTCCCCGCGGCCGTAGCGAGAACCGTACGGTCAAGACGACTTTCAGAGAGCCTGGGCTTCTTACAAAATAATAAAAATAAGACAAAAACGAAACGACCGTCATAACTTGTTCCATTTCCCCTTTCCGACCAATAATTATCTTCCTTCTTCGCTTCGGACCGGTTTAGAGTTTAGTAGAAAAAGAACCCTTTCTAGAAAACATTTTTCTTTCTTTATAAGTAAAATTCTTGTAAAGATTGATATTAAACTTTTTTTTTCATAACAAACAACACATAAAAAAATTATTTCATATCCCTTCATGGGTCTCTGTTGATTAAAGATTTCTTCCAACTGATTATGATCAACATGCTGTGGTTAGCTAGAATATGTTCATCGGTTTAGAGTTTAGTCTGTGAAAAAAGAACCCTTTCCAGAAAACATTTTTTCTCTATACAAGTCAAATTCTTTTAATGATTGATATTAAACAATTTTTTTCATACCAAACATAATCCATAAAAAATTACTTCATATCCCTTCATGAATCTCTGATGATTAAAGATTTCTTCCAACTGATTACGATCAACATGCTGTGCTAGCTAGAATATGTTCACCAGTTTAGAGTTTAGTCTGTGAAAAAGAACCTTTCTAGAAAACATTATTTCTTTCTTTATAAGTAAAATTCTTTTAATGAGTGATATTAAACAATTTTTTTCATAACAAAAAAATGATTTCATATCCCTTCATGGATCTCTGATGATGAAAGATTTCTTTCAACCAATTATACGTACATAAAATTTACTTCTTATTTATAGGCAAAAGCCTGTTTTATTACAATAATTACCAGAAAGACAAACAACATTTAAAACATGAAAAACATTAAAATATTAAATATTTACAATAAATAAAATGATAAAAATAATAACATACAGTGCAATCCATTTATGTTTATTGGTCTAACAAATTACTTCTTTCAATTAATTATTCTTTTTATGTAAGGTTTTGGTTGAGATAAAAATGGCAAAAAAGAGGGAAAATTTGAACGGTTGTAGATTGAGATGAGAGTTGGTGTCTGAGTAGATCAGTCATGATAGCTCAAGGGATTAGAGCAGCGGCGTATTGAGCCAAAAGTCGTGGGCTTGAATCTCGCTCGTGACACTAACTTTTTCATCTCAACTAAGACTTTACATATAAAGAATAAGTAATTGAAATACAGTTTAATTTAGATACCAGACATTTGAAATCAAAAACAATAGTTGGAATTTGACTGGTATGGTAATGAGGGTACTAGGGTGCAGGGTTTGTGCTCCCAAGCACTGTAGCCTTCTGGCTTATTGTATGTTCCTAGTTCCCTAGTTTAGTGCAATAGACTCAATCCTTCTCCTTAGAAGTATCAGGTCATTGACTGTCGCTGCTACAATTTCATTCCCTAGATTTTTTTCGTATGTTAGGGTAAATCTCCATTGAGCTGTTGCTTAACATTCGAAGATGATATAGGTGGCTGTTTCCTCCTTCTCATCGCATAATCTGCAGATGGGATCATTGTTTTATATGCCGATATTGTGTAGATGTTTTCTCAGATCACAGTAACCGCTTAGTGTCTATCCCTCTCCAATGTAGCAGTGAGTTTGCCAGTCTTGGTTAGGGTTGTTTCATCATAAGTTTACTGTGTCTAGGGCCGCTAGAGTTTATTCACTTCTCCTTTTATTTTGTTTGGATTCATTCTGAGATGGAGGCTTCTATATTTGTTTTTGTTATTCCAGGTTTGGGGCCTACATATGGTCTTGCCGATATTTTTCTGGCCAGCGGTCTGCTTTTTCGTCACTCCTCTGTGCCCTGGCACTCAAGATAACATCACATTGTTGTGTTTCCCCAGGTTTTGGAGATTTTGGATGCATTCACTGACTAATTTTGGTGTGACTTTTTTAAATGCTAATGCTTTAATGGCTGCTTGGCTATCAGATCTTATGAGGATTTTTTTGCCCGTGTAACCTCTTTTAAGATTCAAGCGCACAAGCGTTGATGGCATGTATTTCTGCCTGAAAGGCAGAAGTGTACTTCATTAATGAGTTTGATTGCTCATATCTTGGGCTTCTGTACCATATCATTGTCTCTGATGCTCTCCTTTGTTCTTCCTCTCCTTCATAGTCCGTTGAGACTTTATAGGATATTATAAACAATGTTTCCAGGATTATTTTATTACAATAATTATAAGAAAGAAAAAATTTGGGACATGGAAAAATTTTCCTAAAAAAACATGACCAACATTGAAATATTAAATATTGACAATAAATAAAATAATAAAAAGAATAACATTCAGCATAATAAAATACAAAAACAATATTTGGAATTTGACTAGTAAATAAAAACAATTGTAAATAAGATTAATTAATTGTACATACATATATACAGAAAATCAACCAGCACATCCGGTATACATACACATACATATACATACAAGACGCAATAATTGACCAATTAATAATTTTCACATTAAAATTAACTATGGCTTTGTATTTAAGTTTCACTGAAGAAGTACAGTGGGTCAACAAATTATTTGAACACTTGTTCAAAAAAATGAATAGTTCTTCTTCTATAAAACTGTCAACAGCATATAGATGAAATTGGGTGAAATTAAGAACTAATGGAAGATCATTTAGGAATATGAAAAATAAAAAATGTCCAAGAATAGAGCCTTGAGTCAAACCAGCTGAAGTTGAGAGAATAGAGGAGATAAAATTTGAAGCTATACATCTTTGAGTTCTGTCAAGTATTGTAGGTATGTAAGTAATAATTTCAAATCACAGACAAACATTCTCATAGTAGTAAAGAATGCTATTTTCTCAATTAATTATACACAATCTTTTTGAAATGAAAAATTTGTGTCACAGCCGGAATTCGAACCCACAACTTTCGTTGAAAAAATTGTTTATAAAATTGAGTAAATATATAATTAAAAATAAGTTGATAAAAATAAAAGAATGTGATGTACTGCATTATTTAATGTGTGATTAATGAACAAAAATAATATAAAAATAGATGCAGTGTGGAAAAATATAAATTTAATGTGTCTGCATGTTTTAAAACTAAATATCTCCCTAAAATAAAAATAATTTGTATTAATTTAGCTCAGTAATTTATAGAAGGTTTTAATTAATTTATATTAGTAAAAAAACACGATAATATAAATTCTTGTTTTGAATTTAAATATTTTGGATATAGTCATGACGTACATTGTTTAGAGGTTGTCATTGTTGTCAAGAAGTAGGTTACAGTTGAAATTTAAGTTTTTGCTTTTATTTTGGACATATTACGGCTTATCTTAACTGAAGATATAAAGTCAACACGTGTCTTTGTTTTGTATATTGAATTTTGAAGATCCTTATTTATAATACTTAATCGAAATTAAAAAGTCAAATTAAAAGTAAGATATGTTCCTTTCTAAGGTAAGATTAATAATATACACAGTATTTGTGTGGATTTACTTTATGCTTGACAGCTTTTGATAATGATTTTTAAGTTATTAAATAAAATAGATGATTGTGAAAATCTTTTATTGTCTCCATAAACGTGATTGGTGAAAACTGAACTTAATATTAGTTTTTACACAGGAATTAACTTGATTTTTTGTTGTAATAGATGTCAAGAAGAGCTCTTCTTTTTCATGGCACTGCAAAAAAAGCATTTATGAATGCATCATTAGTAACGACAACGAAAGAAGCAAAATCCGGTATATACAGGTTTACTCAAATGCCTGAACGGTTGAAAGGGACGTTCGTTGACAGGTGGGCAACATATTGGAAAGATCTTTTCCGTGACTATTACGAAGTTTTCAAAGACGTTGGAACTGATTTAAAAAACAAACCTGTTAAAAGTGGAGTGATTTTTACTTTAAGTGGCCTTTCGTATTTCTGTTGGAAGAACAACCCGGATATGAACGATTTCCGATCGGCGGTTATGAAACATTCCAACGAGTTTATTTTCATCGGTCCGAAGATACGAAACCCAAAAACGACGGAGCACTTGAACCTTCTTGAACAGTGCACTAACGAAGGGACGCTGCGGAGGTTTTCTTTCGGACTCTTCTCGTTCATCTGGAGGGACAATTACTCGGACACTGTTGGAATATACAGTAAATGGTGCCCTTATCTGACACCCGAGTGGCTCTCTTTTCACACGAGGGTGTTGGATGTGGGGTTTCTGAATAAATGGTGGATTCTCGAAGAGAAGATGGTCGATTGTGACATCAATCCAGGAGAATGGGGAGACACCATTGCTCTCAAATAAAATTGTAATAAAAATATAATTTTTTTTGCAGTTGATAGAGATAGCCTCTATATTAAAGTTTCTCATGAGCAGAAAGAGGTCTATTTCAATAGTTACCGTTAAATTTATCATGGTAAAAAATATTTCTGATTTGACTCTCTTATTGTGCCTAAACAGTGAATTAGTCTATACAAAACACTTTAGAAATTGTTCATTTAATAAAAAGGGAGCTGCTTGCGATAGCTGAATATTGCAGTTTGTAATTTATGTACAAAGTAGACTTAGTGTGTAAAAACTGTAGTTTTTTTAAACATTAAATTGCCTCCCACATGTGACGGATGAATGGTTGGGATAAATATACGCTTGTTATTTGTTTCTTCTTTCTTAATCGTAAACCTTGAGATTATTGTCGAGTTAAAAAGATAAGGATTAAACTTTGTCTCTCAATTGTACTGGCCTGCCAATTATTTCTCTCTTTGCGTCTCAGGCGAGTGCTTTGGGCTGTTGTGTCCCTTTATGTTATTGTTTTATTGCTATGCTTTGTTGGATCAAGTCTGGTTTTTTTGCTGGTCAGTTTTTATATGTGTTCTTTTGAAGTTATTTATTTTTTAATTTTTGTACAAATTTTTCACTTTGCAGGTAATATAATCGATAGCAGTCCTTACAAAAATGAAAAAAAATTAATATTTAAAGAAATTACAAAGGAGAAAAATAATAAATAAAAAGAGATACCTAATATAAACAATCAGTTTTTCACTGAAAATGGTGTAATGCCGAAACGCGTTTGAATAACTCAAACAAAAAACCCGCGAGTGAAGACAGACCCAGTAATGCCCGTGTGCCGGTTCAACATAAACAATCATAGTTACCAGTCACATTATCACAGTTTTATAAGCACAGGTCAGTGCAATTTTTGTTTTATTCTTCTAATCAGCAGTAGTACATTTTGAGCTGTGTTTTTAATGAGGTTGTTGGAGTCTAATCTCCCCAAAGTGGTTTTGTATGGGGAAAGGGTTTAATTGAATAAATGCTCCATTTTAAACGCCCCGGCTAGCAATCAGTTTTACTTCTCAGTGTAGCCTTAAAGCTGGAGGCTCTCTTGCAGTGATGAACTCCTTGGGAAGAACCTCCAAACTCAAGGGACTGATACCATTGTATCTGACTCTCTATGGTCTCTGTATCTGACTCCATCTCAATTGACTTCTTTTTTTTAAATGGATTCCAGGAACTGGGAGAGTTCCCCTGAGCATTGCAGCTGTTCAGCTTATTGTACTTTATCCCTGGCTCCATTTCTCAATTTGAGCCACCGGTGTGCCAGTGTTCTTCCATTGAAGAAACTCATGTCACTGAGATCTGATCCCGCCACCCCTTCTATTGATGAGTGTCGTGTCAATTTCTTTCAATTGCGGCCACCGGTCCCTTAGGCATCAGAAAAAAATCCAGAGACGACGGTGGGGATTGAACCCACAACCACGGGATCTACTATCGGAGAGTCTGACGCCTTAACCACTCGGCTACCGCGGCCCCCTCATCTCAACTGACTCTCAGGTTTTGACTGAATTTGATTCACAGTTTCTGAATATAGGAACATCTTATATCCTGGCACAGGTTATGAACCTCAGGTGTTGATCTCTGATTATGTATTTGACCTCAGGTAGCAAGACCTTGAATGTAGTGTATGTTTACAAAGATCTGGATGAGGGCATAGACCTCAGGTGTAGTGTGACAATATTATATAATTGTTTGTACAATAATGTATATTTTCTTTTAAAAGGATTTCATGTTACTTCATGATTGAAGGTTTTTTTTTGTGGTACTTAGGTTAAATTGTATAAAAAAAATGAGGGCTAAAGTGAATCTGAAAGAAAAAAGCTGTCCCTTTGCTAAGCTTTTAAGTAATATTGAATCAAAATGTTTAATATTGTAGGTAGATGTATATACACTCAAAAAATCCAAAAAAAAAAAAAATCATTAACATACAAATGTATATGCAGTTTTATTGTTATATTAATTATATCAATATTTATTTTAATGTAAACCAAATTATGTTAGATCAGAAATCCATGAATTTAATAACTATTAATTAAAATATGTTTTGAATGAAAATTCACCAAAACACTGAAAAATAATTTAGTGTGGATGCCACAGCATGGCACACCAGGACTTGGGCTGTGTAACAGACACTACTTTGGCCAAAGCATCAGCCTGGATGAGATAGCTTGACTTCAAACCACGCTTTAAAAAAAATATTGATAATTAACTTATTACTCTATTATTTTTTTAACAGAAAATAATTTTAAAAAATTAATTCACTACAAATTAGCTGAACTGAAATAAACAGATTTTTTTTATTTTTAAACCAATAAGTATTAATAAGGATTAGTACCACTATAAGGGTAAACAATCATTAATGTTGTGTTTATGTTTTAAGTCAATTATTAATCTTTATACGGGCGACGGTGGCCTCAACACATGTTAGGTGTTGACATGGTACTCATTACTGTAAGGTAAAGGTCCCGGGTTCCGACATACTTAAAAAGGTTTTTTTTTTTAAATTCACTAATTTCGTGGTCTGCTTGACCAATTAATACTTTACAATTAATTAAGGTTTTTAGTTGAGATGAAAAAAAGTTAATGGCACGAGAGGGATTCGAACCCACGACCTTCAGCTAGATACGCCGCTGCTCTACCACCTGAGCTATCGTGACCTCGATCCACTCGGACATCAACTCCCCATCTCAACCCCACCTTATGAGTTTTCCCTCCTTTTGCCATTTTTCAAAAACACCGACACCTCAAGGGTTCAAGTTGAAATACCCTTGTTATTGTGAAAGTTCTGATGTCTCCCGATGCTACTCAAAAATAACATCTTTGGCGGATATTTCATTCACACATTGGAAATATTTGTTTGAAAAGTACAACTTGCCCTAACTCATATCCTTGGACAACCTCTGTGACTGGCATAATTATTTTTCATTCTTATCAATTAAATTAAAAACATCATGAAGAATGCCGGTCACGTGTCCAAGCATTTATGCATCTCTCACTTTACAAGGAGGTACACAATTCTCCTGCATTGTTTGACCTACGTGAAAATAAATGGTCTTTGTCTCAGTGAGTTGCGATGATTATTTAAGCTAAGAAGTGAGGTTTTGCACTTAAACTCGGCTGTTTGGATCAGAGGGAAATTGGGAATCTGTTCTTTGTGTAATTTGCGCTCTATTGAAACTGTATCCCACTTCTTGGCGGAGTGCTCATCCCGGGTGAGATTCGGTTATTGCATCTTGGATATTTCACTCTCCCCAGAGTTGACCTGTTACGGTTTTTGAGTGGCACAAATTCGCGGCCCTTACGCCTGTAGTTACGCTAGGCATGCATGGAACTACAGATATGAGTTAATTAAGGAATTTAATTTTTGATTTGTATTGTATAACCTGTTTTTCTATTCTCTCTTTTGCATTTTAATAGTTGTTATTTTTCATTTTTTTCAATTTATTGCCTAGGCTATAACTTTTAACTTACTTTATTGTGTATTTATTCGTTTCTGATTGTTTAACCAATGACCTCTGGCAGACGGGTCCAAGATCCATGTCCTTAAATGCTTTGAAATCACAATTGTCATTTTTCTTTTCCTAAGTTCAATAAAGCATAATTATTATTACCCTCGTTTAAAAAAATCGTTATAGCTAGTTATTGTGGAAAATAAATAAGTGTCCAGTTTTTGTTTTGTCTTTGAGTGTAAATGTAAATCATTAGAAATAATTTCAAAGTTCTGATGAAGGAGAAATAGTTCTCAAAAGCATTTATTTCTTTCAAATTCACATTATCCCTGATTTTTTATGTACAATTAAGGCTGATATCAGCCAGACAGGCTTGATGATTATGGTCCTCCAGGTAATTAAATTTTAATGGCTGGACAGTGGATTACAAAGGGATTGTTGAAAAGAGTGCAAATGTAAACCTGATAATTGACATTTATTGACAGAGACTGTAAATTTCTTTCTGTAAATTTTGACCAGCAACAATAATCACATCTCAGTAGAACAATGTTGATTAACAATACTGCCACCGCACAAGTTGCCTACCATCTAGTTATTAAGTTTTATCTATAAAATTATATTTATAAAAAGAAAGTTCTAATTTTGCAAATGTATGCTTGATAATGAAATAATTTAAAAATAAAACTTAACTTCTAAACCACACCAACAAATATAAAACTATAAGTTTTCTTCTAGACTATACTGAAATTTCTAGATCAGATCGTTTAAAATAAAATTGATTATCACATATTAGTTAGCAATTAAATGCTGGTTATTTAAAATCTGATTTGGTAACATAAATTTGTTTGATTACAATATTCACAATCCTAATTATAAAGCTTAACATTATTAATACAATAAAAAAATATTTTTTTTTACATGTGAACTGTGTGAGGTTTTTGCATGCTTACTGCACACGTCGAGTCATCGACAGACGTCGCATCATCTGGCTCCATGCACAAACCCGCATCTGAAAAGTATTCAAATTGAAACGGATTCGAATTAAAACGCATCGGAATCACCTCCTTACCATCGGCCTTGGTCAGTTTTGTCAACTGCAACTTGAAATTCATGATGTACTGCCCCATGAAGAAGTAGACAAGGGAAGTGACCCCGATAACAATAAAGAAAAAGTAGACATTATATGTCATCACGATCATCATTATCATATACCCAACTGTCAGTTCTATAACGTATATTCCTGTCTCCAAACAGAGCAACCTGGCAATATTATATATTTGTTGTGTGTCAAAGATATTAAGTTATTTAAAACGTGAAAAGCTGTACCTTTTTCTAATGTCGCTTTGGAAAGAAATTTGCCCCAGTAATTGATTTGTATCATTTGAATTTTCTGAAAGTTTCTGTAGAGAAATTATGTTGTTCAATTTTGTCTTCACCTCAAAGATTTTAAGGATCTCGAATATAAGGGTAAGTATGATGATACCAGCACAAGCTAATATAAACTCTAAAAAAATTGAATATTTTAGAAACTATTTTTTATCTTCAATGTTTATTTTCTTTATGGTCTTTGAATCTGAATTGTCAATTTACTGAAGTAGCAGGTTGGCTTTCAAAATCATGATCAGCACACAGTTGTAACTGACTGGCTTTCAAAATCATGATCAACACAGATAATTTTATTATTGTTATCTGCTTTTGACAAATTATATTTTTTTAATAATAGATCAAACTTATTAAGGTAATTTGGTTAGTAGACTAAGAATAGCAATATTATTCTCTTCTAAGAATAGTTTGTTTGAAAACTGTCAATACCTCCATATGTTTCGATGTTAACGAAAGGAAAGAAGAGTTTCTCAAACTTATATCCAAACCAAAATGTATTCTCCATTTCACCGTTTGTTGTACTGTTAAGAATAATACAACACAGTTATACGAGCCATATCTTCGCCAGTCTTATCTCTTCAATTGAAGATAATCCGTCACGGGAATACAACGGGCAATCACAACGTTAAGTATCAATACAGGGACGATATGAATCCCTACTCCGTAAGAACTCATTTGAGGTCAAAGAAACCGACATCAAATGTTCGTGTATAAATCAACAAAATTTTTAAAATCGTCATACATAAAATACGATTGAGAATCACAAACCACAAATGTGTGGTTTATCTATTCATTTATAACCATTATGGTAGGCAGTTAGGCACTAGGCCACAGGGAACTTCATGAATTACACACAAATTACACCGCCAAAAACTATTTAAAAAAAAATCAACTTTCTTATTGAACTAGAATTGATCAATTGAATAAAGAATACGCAGGTGCTCCTTATGCAGAGAAAGGTTGCTCGATGTGCCCCACATAATAGAGGCGTGTCGCCTTGGTTCCATACAGAGAGCGTGTAGGCTTGCCGTCGGACTTAAGAAGAGTTCTCGAACACAGTACTGAGTTTCAGAGTCCCCTGTTTCGCTTTTTAGGGGAAATTGGTTTTGTATATAATATGGCTTATGTATTGTGTCTGTATGTTTTGTCTGAGTGAATGTATTTATTAGCATGAATGGCGAGGGGTGAGGGTGAAATATAACGTCATCATCGCCCCTCGAACGTAGAGAGCGTAAGAGTGTGTGTTCGGGGTCGAAGGCGGAATATTTATAAAAGTACTCCATCGACCCCAATCTAGATTAGCTTGTATGTATTTATGTATGAATGTATTTATTTGTATGAATGTAGTGGTTGAAAGTGTAAATAAAAAAATAGGTTTCCCTCTTTTCTCTTCATAAATATACATAAATATACATGTGGTTTGAAGATTTCCTGGTACCACCGTAATGGAGAAATCACTGGCTTTCAAAGATTTGCATAACACATAATGACAACACTCAAGATAATAATATAATCATCTCTTTGTTTCATATATGCTTGAACTGATCAACAGTGATCAATTTACTTGGTGCATCTATTTTCGATGCAGTACATTTCTCCCAAACACTTTTACTAGAGACGGGAGCCAAGATACCACAAGCGGTGATCTCACAATTAAAAAAATATCTTCTAAACGTACTCCTTTAAATAATTGTCAAAGAGAAGATACACTGAATATACAATAATGGGAGTGAACAACATTTAATAATAAAGTCTTAATTTAACAATTATTAATTATTCTTAATTTAAACAATTTCCTCTTTCCTATGTATGAATATACATGTGGTTTGAAGCTTTCCTGTGAACCACCCTGTGAACCACCCTAATGGAGAAATCACTGGCTTACAAAGATTTGCATAATACATAATGATTACCTCAAAATAATTATATAATAATATCTAAGTTTCATTATGCTTGAACTCATCGACAGTGATCAATTTTAATCATTCCATAATAGGAAATCTCATAATTTAAAGACATATTTTCCATACTTACTTCTTTATTCAAGGTACAAACAGAACTCAAAGAAATAATGTCTAGATGATATACTTGAACTGATTCGGGCTTCATCAGTTTTTACTGGTTTTCATTTTGTTCAAACAAAGAGGAGTCAAGACACCGTAAGTGGCAATCTTACAATTTAAAGAATTAAAAAAAAAATTAATCTCATTTGTGAGTATGTCAGGTTTGAATGCAGTGCCGCTGGCTTCGAACCTGGGACCTTCACCTAACAGTGAAGAGCGCCATGCCAATGCCTTAACTGTTGTGGCCACTGATGCCCTCTTCACTTCTCTTACTTTTCCTTTTAAGTTTTAAGTATTTTTATCTTATTTTTTTGTGTCAAATTACACTTCAATCTCTGGCTGATGAATCAATGAAATCGATTCTTATGATAAATATTTTCTTTGGTGATTGATCAGCCTTCTCAGTTTAAATATATTTTTCTTTCAAAAAGGTAGATTGGGGATTTGGCCTCATCCCCAATCTACCTTATGCTAAATATTACTTTTGAACTATTTACATAATTCTACATGGGAAAAAAGTTTAATGTTTATGCATTATTTATGCCAAGTTGTTAAAACTTCAAATAAACAAATGCATTTTTAATTTCTTGATAATATATAATAAAACTAAAAAAAAAAAAATTGATTTGACAGATTAATTTAATCAAGCCTTATCAAGCAGGTAAGTATAGTAAAAGAAATAGTCAAATATATAATATGTATATATTACAATAAAACTTACAGAGGACTATAAAATTAAAACAAAAATATAAAATTGTATTTGTACAACTTTAACAAAAAGAAAAAAGGCAAGAACATTGATGTTATAATGAAAATGAAGCAGGTTGAAATTTAAGTTAAAAAAAACTTCTTTTTTTTTCTTGAAAAACACTATAACATAACTTAAACAATTACAAGCAGAAAAATATTCCTCTTAAACAAAAAACCAAACTTCGTTACCACATAAAATTTTTACAAAAATAAAATGTGCTAAATCACGTAATTTTTTTTTTTAATATGTACTCTCGTCCTTAATGAGGTAATTGATCTTAGACAACTGTGCAGATCTCAGGTGGTGTTGGAGTAGCATTACTAAGATCTAGAGTTGCATGAGGAATAGGTCCAGGGCTCATGTTATCTATGCTGTGAATCATTGATGAATGCATCATAGTTCGAGAATGATCAAGCATCGATTGTTCTTGCAATGCAAGCCTCTGTTGCTGTGATAAAGCTCTAACTGCATTTGTTTTCTCCTACAAGAAAAAAAAACAATTGTTACTAGTGGAAATAATAAAATTAAAAAATTTATAATAATAATTTTTTAAATTAATTATTTATCTAATTCTTACCTTTTGCCAAACAAAAACATTATGAACCATAGCACATCCACAGAATATGATACCCAGACCAATTAAAACACTAGTTATTATTGCAGGAGTTGAGTGGAATTGTATAAATGTGTATAAAATTATTCCTAAAACACATAAAAAATATATTGTAGCAGATAAACAATAATGGATTTTTCTGGTATTGAAATTAAAATTTTAACAATGCTTTGTTAACATTTGTGTCAAGAATATTTATAATATGTTCTTAAAAAATTAGGGGGTTAATTTAGATTGCGAAATCTCTAGATATTTGACATAATTTCTGTTTAAAATGATTGTTCCTTGTTGGAAGAAATATTACTTGTTTCAGTTGATTTTGTTTCGTTTCACCTAAATCAATGCTGTAATTTGATCGATATTGATCATTTAAATCTGCCCATTCTCTTTGGGTTAGTCTGTCGACCTACGGCATTTTGCCATCTTCAGTGGTGGGAACAAATAATGAAGCGAGCAAAATGCGGAAAGGCATCTGATAGACCAACCCAGCAGAGTAGGCAGACATAGATTATTTGTAATGATGAAATTATACGTTCATCACCCTCAGATGACAGGACAAAATTAGAATTAAATCAATCTTCATAAATTCATAAATTAAAAAATTACCTGTTAAAAACACTGGAATAGACACGAAAAATCCTCCAACTGCACAAACTCTCGTAAATGCAGATTTTTTCAGGTACTTGTTTGTTCTGTAATAGAAAAATCAATACAATTAATTATCAATAAATTAATTTGAATATATGTACAAGCCTAGTTTTGTTGATCCAATAAGAAAAAACTTATTGACATATAAATTGAATTTTGACTAATTCAACTTTTTAAGAAAGAGAAGTACTTTTAAACATTTTCATATATTTATACGGTGATTTTGACATGGTGTAATTTGAACAAAAGACGCACTATAAGAACTATAAACTTCCAGGAAAGGGAAAGTTTAATTTTAATTAAAGAAATAAACTAAAAAAGAACAGTGTGAAGGACATGACCCTCAACTATTTCAGAAGTCTGATATTCATGAGCACTCTTGTTTCATTTTCCATACATTTTCTGAAACTTCATTAAAACTTTCCCAAGGGATGATCTAACTATATTGGAATTAGAATAAAATTTCTAAAGCCATTTAAACTAGAAAATAATGGAAATAGATTGAAGTTAATAAAAACTTGTACTTGTTGGTGTGCTACCTGATCTAGACATGAAAATGGTACAATGTACAGGAGTATTTGGTCATAAGATCAAATACTCAAAATCTGCAGCTATATTTTATTATTATATTTTAAAACAACGCTTTGTATATAAATATGGACATAACTGTCAGATAGATAATGAATTTGAATTACAAAAGTATGCAACACCAAAAAGAATCACCATCTGCTGGGTAATAAAACAGAATTTCATCTATTTCTAAAAAGAATGAACCTTCTACACGGCTGACAGGAACAGAAGGTAAGGTGAGAAATATTATAATAATAAGTTTATATCTGACTATATCTGGCATATAGGACTGAGTTTGGAAATAAACCAATGATTAAAATTCATAAACCTTGGGATAAATGCCATTGTCTTTCAGATGAAGACTGTGACAGGGGGATCAAAAGGCTGGCTATTACTAACACAAGAATAGCTATGCTCTTTGCACAGCCAGGTGGACCCTCAAGGTAACTAATTCATTGGTTGTAAAGCCTATTTTGAATTGCATGAAGGCTCTGTCATACATTAGAAAAAACAATAAAATTGTTTTAAACCTTTATGTTTAATGTTTACCAGGAGCAATACAGAACAGAGGAGCAACAAGGAGGCTGATAAATTAGCTAACAGGACACATCAACCCTGAACCCTTTTGCATCAGACTAACTTGCCACGAATTTAGATCCATCAGACAATGGGTTAAGAATAAGTCCTCGGCTCAATGAGACTCAGAGGCAGAGACATGTGAAAAAGTTCATAAAGGACCATCATGGAAACTAATGGCAAAACTAGAATGTGTTAGGACTAGGATAAAAGTTGGCTGGGCACTGCAGATTCCAGAGACTTTTTTCCTCGGATTAGCAGGAACAAGACTGTGCATATATTGCCAGGAAGAAGAAAAAGTAACCCCCGAAGGATTCCTTTGGCTTTTCAGTTCTGGCAAAAATGCTTAAGCATAACAAAAAGCTCTAGAGAATAATGGAGATTGTACAATAGACCAATATTGGTTGCAGTGCGCAAGGTTGTAAAGAAACTCTTTTTAACCTTTAACCTTAAATGTCTGAAGATTATAATAATGTAATAATTGAGGTTATGGTTATGGTTGAGTGGTGTTTCTTAAAACTAAAGACAGTTCTGCCGAGCTTTCGACTTTATTGAAGTCAGTCAGGGCTTTTGGCTTCGGGTCCATATTTCAATGTTGAAAAAAACAAAAAACAATGATATTGGAACCTCAGTTAAATTATTGATGTTATCAAATTATTGATAGAATCGAACAGAAGTTGTAAGTGTACTAATGTAATGATCAAGTATGTGCTTAAGGTTGGGGGTTTCTTAATCCAAAGCCTGCTGAGCTCGCACAAAAAGCCCTGAGGATTTTTTTAAATATTTCATAAACTAATTTTATGATTTTAGAACTATGTATTAATTTTAGTAGCAGATATGATAATTTGCTGTCTTATACATTGTTCGCTGAGCTTTCCCAATTTTTTACCCTTTGGATGTAAATTTTCCCGCTTTAGTTATTCAAACACCTTTTTCTCGAAGCCTTCCATTATCAAGGATTAGAAAGTACGGCTTCTTACGAAGAAATGGGTGTTTTTATACATGCTTTAAGGTGCTAACATGCTTAAGGCATTTGTTTCTAAAATCGGATCTGGCAACTTTTGGACAATGGCTACGAATAGAGAAAAATCTGCACCAGTAGCATTTTAAAATCAATTTTACGTATATTTACTTCATAAAAATAAACAGATTAAAAAAAACAAACAAAAAACTACGACTTTTACATTTCTCCCCAACTGTTTACAACAGTTGAAATTCTTTCTCGCCTTACAAAATAAATAAACTTCGCAGGACGGGGACTTCAACCTCAAGGCCCCGAGGTTAAAAGGGAAGAAGTTTAATGTTTGTCAGAGCGAGATGACGCGAAATCCAGCCTGGAATGTTTCCAGTGGGGGAGTGGCATCGAACCATTACAGTACACCATCTGGAATGTATTCTCACATTAAGTCCCCATCAACGCCTTTCAATTCGAATTTCGGGACTTCTGCTTGTTAGCTGGCCATCACGAATTGTTGTTCTGTTTGTTTAACATTGTCTTAACGAACTTTCGCAACACTCCACCCTTAAATTTATTACATTAAATAAATAAATTGAATGTTGATCAAAACTTATATATCTTCAATATATTCCAATAATTATAAGCAGTTTTTTTTATAAGATTATCAACAAAATTACACTAACGTATAGACAATATTTTTATAATTATCCTATTAAATAATCAACATCAGTCTCTATTAGCTGTATCTTTCAAGATTTTTGGGTAGCTTATAGGATTAAGCTAAAAGTAACCCCTAAAGAAAATTATGCAGAAATATTTTTTGAAACTTATACACTGATTAATTATAAGATCCGTTAGAATCGGATTATTGCAATTATCTTGTTTGTAATTATTTGTATACAATGTTGGCAAGATGGAATGTTAAGTTTCCTCATAAACACGGCAGTAGTTAAAGATAGGATTTCTGTGATTATCAGAGTATTCTGTATAATAAAACAGTTGGACTGGAATCATTAGGAAAGACAGACGAACCTCCAATAACCAGTTCTAGGGAAGAACATCATCTAAAGATTTGATGGGATTGGAATGGAATTTTTTACAATGTATTTCTTGAAAATAAAACAGGCAATTCTATTTAATTGTTCTTCCAAAGTCGTTTAATTAAAAACAGTCATCTAAAAATAAAAAAGGTATGCATAAATAGTCAAAATTTGTGTACCTCGGCAAAAGTTGTAGAACTTAGGATTCAACGACTGGTTGAAATAGTGAGAAGCGGTCAGGTTAGATGCTGTCAGAAAAACACATTTTTCATTTAATTACTGACGTTTCGACCCTATTCGGGTCATCTTCAAGGCATGAAGTGTAGTGTTATACCTGCAGTGTCATGTTTGTTAAGGGTGAACGTGATGAAATTGTAGAACCGATTGAATTGAAACAATAAAATGGTCAGGTTAGATGCATGTCAGAAAAAACACATTTTTAATTTAATTACAGACGTCTCGACCTTTTTCCGGTCATCTTCAAGACATAAAATGTAGTGTTATACCTGTAGTGCCACGTTGGTTAAGTGTGAACGTGGTGAAATTGTAGAACCAATTGAACTGAAACAGTAAAATGGTCAGGTTTTGATTTGATTTGGAACAATTTCACCAAGTAAACACATAGCAAAAAGACACTACAAGAATAACATTAAACTTTATGCCTTGAAGATGACCCGAATAAAGGTAGAAACATCGGAAAAAAAAATTGTTTTTCTGACATCTAACCTGACGGCCCCTCCATTTCAACCAATTATTGAACCTTGACCTGGTTACCTATCATCCTGATTTGCCAATCCTTACTGATTTTTGTTAATTCAAAAATCAGTAAGTTTATCGTCCACAGGACCTAAGCACGACATATGAACCTCACGACTACCTCACGACATATGAACACCGATGGCTATAACATCACACATTTGTATTCACCGATGACAAATCGTATACAGATTATCTTATTTAAAAAATTGAATCCTTTGGGTGAAATTATTAAAATTGTAGGTAGGTTGATTGTCTTTGATAATCCTGGTCCGTCTATTCTTACTGGTTTTGTCCATAATTTATTTTTACATCTTCTGTGGCAGTTCGTCACACCTCAATACTCATAAGCTTATTTAAATAGATTTATTGCCTGAAAAATATCAACGTATAAAGAATTGTGATTAACAACGGTTGAACATGTTTTCCAAATTGTTTAATTTGAACAGAAAACGGAAATAGCTTTTATCTAAAGAGGGGCTAATTTTAGGCAAGGAAGTAAGCAGGCTTCCCCACTGATGCAAACAGAATCGTATTTTTTCCTTTCAAACCTTAGATCCGGATGTGATACGCAATCCGACAGATTTTGTCTTATCGTATATAAAATTATTTAAACAAAAAACGAAGAAAAAACTTGTTTGATAGAAGGGAATACAAGCTTGAAAATAGCTGGAAGTTATTAAAAAAATATAATAATAAAAGATTATAATAATCCATGATCGGCCTTGCTGCTTTGTCTAATAATGTTTAATGTTTAATAAAAAACTGATATAACATTGTTCTACACAGTGTAGGCATTTAGCCTAAGAAAAAGCTTTCCTTATTTAATGATGCTGAGAATCTTCAATCTTAAGAGAATTTTTAAGATTTTTTATGAGACAAGCATTAATAGTAAGTATTTCAGCTTGAAAGGCTGAGGTGCACTTCCCTAATGAATTCGATTGCCCATTACAAAATATTTCTTTATTTTTTCTTTTTAGACAGGTTATTTAAACTATAAAAACTTTAAACTACATTTATTATAATAAAGGGAAGTAATATTCAAAACAGGGGACGACGTGGCCGAGTGGTTCGGGTGTTCGACTCGTATATGCCACGCTAGCGGCCCAGGGTTCGAATCCCGGTTAGCTCATGGTTTTTTAAC